GGGTGGAGAGAATGACACTCGCGGATGAATATCCGAGGCACAAGGTATGACTGGATGCGGACGGAAGCGCGGCTTACAACTGTTGTTCTTCATGTACGTCCACACGTCCCTCTCCTCCAGGCTGTGGGCAAACGAGCAGTTGCCGATGTAGTGGCACTTTTTCTGCTTCATCACGTGCACGCACATCTGGGTGAAAACACCAGCAGAAGGAGAATAGTTAGAGAGTGACACTTGAGACGCCTCTTCCATTAACTCATTCGTTCAAACTGTGCTTTATGTATATTGTGGTAGACTTGATCAGGGAGGGAATGGGGCGGTGGGGGGCGGGGGTGAGCACTCACGTCGTATTGCTGCGGATAGCTGCGGGAGAAAGGGAGAGGCCGAACAACGACCCACTTCTTTTTCTCAAAGGATTTCACCAGCAACACTCGACGCTCCTTCGTCCAGCTGGCAAACAAAAGAGATTCTTCCATGTCACACGGCTTCTTGCCTTGGGGGGAGGGGGGGAGTCTATGTCTCACCTATGTCGCGCTTTGGCAGTGCAGTATTTGAGGTTCTTGTCGGGCTCGTTCACCTGTCCTTCTCGCCAGCACTGGCCGCACACAAACTTCATTTTCAGGTTGAGGGGGCGGCCCCGCCCGGTGCCGCCAAGCGCTCCCACCCCCATCCCTCCCACCGTGGAGACGCCAGCCCCGCCGATGCCATCTCCTCCCCCGACGCTGACCCCCATTCCCCCGACAGGCATGCTGCTGCTTGGGTGGGGAATGTGGATTGGCTGGAAGGGCACAAAAGAAGTTCGTGAGCAAGGGCAAATGTCCAAAGTTGACAGCTAACACAACAAGGCAAAGTGATCTTTTTTAGATGAATATTTATTATAGCCCCCAGAATACAATTCTGCCATACACCGAGGAACCCCCTGTAACTTCTCCTGTGTTATTTCCAGCCTACCCTCTGTGGCTTCTGCGCATTCTGCTCTAATCTCTGCCAATGTCTTTTGGACTCCTGCACCATCTCCTCATGGGTAATGCCTGAAGAAAATTTGGCCACAGAGAAGAATGTCAGTTCTCGCTCGATCAAAATAGCCCATTTTCATTGACCAAGCCTCTCCACCCTGCCTCCCCTTAAAAAAAAAATTCAGTCTTTCCACAGTCGATATTTTCCGATTTCTGTCGCGGTGTCAAAAAAAAGTTGGCGCTTCCCGCTTACCGGTGTCTTGTTGAAGCACCCAACATTTGAGTTCTATGACCGAGTGTGCAAAGGAGCAGCTGTCCTCGCGTTGGCAACCGTAGCGAACCTCATGGCGACACACGTCAAACTGACACAGAGGGTGGAGGGGGCGCACCTTGCTGTAGCGCACGTTGGCTGAGCGCACCACGTGCACCAGGCACCTGCAGTCACATGACACACATTAGGTTGCTGCGGGGACGTACGACCCCACCCCCCCCCAAAAAAAAAAATAAACCTGATGTTTGAAAGAACACCGTACTCACTTATTGTCATCAAACGGGTGTCGGGCTGTGAGGTTGGAGCACACCGCCAAGTTTTCTTTACTGCGCTTGCTTATGATGCGAGGCTTACTGTCAAAACATTCCTGTTGAAAGAACAAATGTGTTCAAATAAGCCTTCCTGTAATGTTCCCCCCCACTTTTTATCAAACAGAAAGAGAGGAGCGCCTTCCAGACGGTCTGATCTCACCTCACAGAGGAACATGAACATGCCCATGTGGAGCTGCAGCAGTCTCGTGACACTGAGCGCGCGCCTTTCCGTGCTCCCCAGGGGGTCGAAGAGCAGCTCTCGGCTCAGTGCGCCCTTCCTCTCCTGCGTCCACACGTTGATTTCCTCCTGGCAGTATGCGAAGGTACAGTTCTCACCGTACTGGCACTCCTGGCGTTCCTGAACCTCTGCAGGACCAGAAAAAAAGGGGGGGGGGGTGTTCGTAAAATGCGCACACTACAACTCTGCCCTATTTTGTTGAAAACGTGACACGCACCTTTACAGAGTACAAAGGCCCCTAAGAAGTTGTTGCGTGCCGGCCGGGGCCGAATCCTCTTCCAGGTGGGGTCGTCATTGTTCTTGAGGCGACACAGCAGAACGTCCCGCTTACATCGATGCGCCGCCTCCGGCTGATATTTGTAATCCATCACTCGCGGACCTGGAAGCACACGGAGAGCGAATGTTGTCGAATGCGTTCAAAATAGAGAAAAACGCAACAAGAAGAGCCAACTAACCTATTCGGCTGTAACAGGCATGGCAGGCCTGACGGAACTCGTGCGTGCCTGCCAGAGGATTCCTGGACAGCATTGAGAGGTTTGTTCCTGCTGGGCCGTTCTGGAGAGGAGGGGTGGGGAGATAATGATTTCCAGAAAAGTTCCAGAAGTATTCCAAAGCTTGGACTCACCGCTTGTGCAGAGCCGTGGTTGCGCATCCCAGGGATGAAGCTGTGACACACTCGTCCCCCTGAAAGACCACAAACACACAACGATGAGCACTCGGGGGAAATAATCAATGCTTGCAGCCAAAACTTGAACTCACCAGGGAGAGTGTACTCCGATAAAGAGTCGAGCCCGCCGGAAACGAGCCCACCTTTCCCCTCTCCGTCCACAGCTCCGCTCGAGAAGCCTCCCAAAGCGTCCTGCGCTTGGGTGGAGCCCTGGTCTCGCTGGGCCAGCGGCGAGTAAGGCTCCAGTTGGGGGAGGTCACTGATGGAGGAGCCGAAGAAGGTGGGGGCGAGCTGGGCTGACGGGGCGGGCAGGTTGGGGGAGTAAGGGGGCCGCAGACCCACCGCTGTGTTTGGTAGGTTGGTGGGGATGGCGCCTGCAGGACCCTAGACCGGTACACAAGAAAATCAGGTTTCTAAACGTGGTATCTGTACATCTCCGTTACATTGGGGAGATGGTTATTGCTGTTCCGAAATAATATCGTTCGATAGGATAGGAGGTTTACTTGCTCCCCGACCTCACTGACTTTCTTGGGGATGCTTTCCAGGAGACTGTCCAGCTCGTCCTTGATCACGCTGCCGCATTCGTCCATGTGTTCGGACACGGGCACAGAGTACGGCATCGGCGGCAGGGACTGGCTGCCCGGGCTCTCCGACAGATCCGCGCACGGCGTCAGGACGGCGGGATCGTCGCTGACTGGGATGGGTGTGGCCAGAGGGGCCGGGATGCACTGGGCGTTGGACAAGTCTGCTGAAGGTGTGCAAAAATAGGAGGTCACAAGAAGTAAGTGGAGCGATCGGAGGTTTCTTTGCCATACCTGGTCCCATGTCGCCCAGAGACTCCATCCCATTGGAAGACGACTAAATGACGAAAAGCAGTTCGTTAATAGCCAGCGCGCGAGTCGGCTAACGTTTGATTTCAGCATCGATAAGGCGTGACGTTAACACACACCTCCCCAGTGGGCGGGGACGTCTCGCCAAGACTCTCTGCCTCCGTGGCCGTGGACTCGGTCTGGCTGATGTAGGCTTTACGGCCCTTAAGGCCCAGCTTATTGGCCAGATCCTGAGCTAAATCACATACCTGGCGGTCCTGGAAAGCAAAAAACACAAAGGAAAGAATGGGGTGGGGAGGTGTAAATAAAAAGGGCTGCACTTAAAAATTTGGAAGCAAATAACATACATGCGGTTCTGTGAGGAGACATTTGGTCCCGCACTCGTACGCCTCTCTGAGTCGTCCCATTTCTCTCAGGCACAGCGCCTTGCGGTAGAGAGCCTTGCGACTACCTTCGGATACAAACAGCGCACTATCACAGTCCTGAATGCCGCGCTCGAATTCCCTCTGAGGAGAAAAACAAGCAACAAGCATTTAGGTTCGCACACAACCTGTCGAAAATTCGGCAAGTTTAGTGAAGAGCTAGGCAGTGCAAAGAAAAACTTCTGAGCACGGTACAAGATGCAATTCCCCTCACAATTTGGTAGAAGGCGGCAGCCCTGTTGACGTAGAGGCCCTCCAGCAGCTTGTGGGGGATGATGAGGGCCTCGGCCTGGGCGTAACGGGCGACACTGATCCCTTCTCCGTATTGCTGGGCTGCCTGACGACAGTCGCCGTCGCGTCGGAAGCAGGCGTTGCCCTCGTCCAGGAGGTTACACACCAACTGAGTCAGAAAAGCCTGAAAGGCATATAGAAATAAGGCCATGAATATAGAACGCAGAACTGCACTGCATACAAATAAATGCATTGAAGAGGAAATTATTCAAACCTCATAATTCTCCGGCTCGGGGAAAGGCAATGAAGACCTGAAACGGATATTACAAGTCACCACTTTAGTCTCAATAACAAAGGGACAATGTCGACTATTTTATACATCCATATTCTTTTCGTTAACTAAAGTTAACCTTTTTTAAAGTTGGATTCAGATACATAATGCTTTTAAAACACATTTTTTAAAATGTAAACTTTTGTTTTGACTTACTGGATAAAACTCATTGCTTTCTGGATTTCCTCTCTTCGTTTGAGTCTATCTGAGTCCATTGCCTGAGGATGGAAGCAAATGGAAATGTTACTTATTTTCACATTTGCCATGGTCTGAATATTCCCTCCTAAATCGGCAGTGCAACGATAACTTGCTCTACATTACGGGGTTGTTCGAAATGTCAAAATTGCTGGCTCCATGTATTGGCAGGGCCTACCGTAAACACGGTGACGAAATGACGGCGCTGGTTCGACTACAAACAGCGGGATGACGCAGAAGGTGAAACGAGGGTCAATATTCTTCATCTTAAAAATGAAATTGAACACACTAGCGACATTTTTTGATGTCTAAAGTACAATGATTGGTTCGCGAGCCCCGGAGCTTAGCATTGTTGACATGCTAACTCGCGTTAATCGACAATACTGTACCTGCTTCACTTGAAGGATGCACCGGCAAAACTGACTTAAAATGGACATCGAGTTGTGGGCTTAGCCGATATTAATGTGAACATTAAAGCGATCAAAGGGTAATCACTGTTCGACCTGCTACCGCTAGTCGTGCTAAAAGCTAACGAGTGCGACCCGAGTGAAATTAGATTTAGCTTTCGAAGTGTATGCATATTGAGGTGGTTAGCGTCTTGTCGGTTAATGTCTACGTTATATTCATGCTGGCTGGCTGCAGTTGTGTATATTTAACAAAAGAAGATGAGTTGACGACAGCGAGTAGCTAGCAAGTAGTCCCTCTTCTTTTTGAGCACAACTCACCCCACAGTTAAGTTTCAAGCGTTTCGGATCACTGATAACTTCACGAAGCGTTAAAGGCGATAAAGACGGGAGGAAATAGACAACTAGTAGTCACGATCCAGGCAGCATATTTGGAAATTTGGTGTGCTTGTCATTGATTTGTAGACGAAGCACGATTTTTTTACGAGCTACAGCTGTTGAACTGCTTGCTGGCTAATGTTAGCCTTCTCTCTGCTAGCTGTTTGGGCTAGTGCAGTATGGCAACAAGTTTCAAACGAAAATCTGCCACAAGGGGACAGCAAAGTCGTGTGGTTATATAGGCTGTGTTTGGTGTTCATTCACTCATTCCCAACTCCGTACTCGCGGTGCTGCAGAGATTTTCATATACTATACAGTGATGGACTATACGTAGCGCGATCACCAGTTAAATGGAAAATAGTTTTAGAAAACCACTCGTGCGCAGCGTTATTTACATCATTTCGGGCGCACCGTCAATTACGTCATTGTTGTCGCATATTTAAACGTGGCTGATCGGTCAGCTGGGGGAAATTGCTTCAAAAGATTGAAGTAATAAATAATTAGAACACAACAGTATATTGTTTTAAGTTTAACAGGGGGCCTAAAGAGGCGTCGCTCGAAAATGCCACCATCTGAACTCTAGAGCCCATGTGATTATTTCTTTAATTTTGTTTGGAATAAAACATTTATTGTGCTCACGAGAAAATGTGTTTCTCCACAACGAAGCAGCTCTTAATGGGAAAATTCTATTTAAACTCTGTATTGTATTGGTCAAACAATTTATCGTCATTTTTCTACATTTTTCTTAGAATGCTTACTATAAAAGTGCCGGGATTTTTTTTAACCCGGAAATGTGTGACGTTATGGTGCAACGTTATATTTACCACAGACAATAAAATGCAGATCTATAAATATTTTTTTCCAATGTCTTAGGTTATGTATGTACGTTACTAGTTAACGTGACGAAAGTGGACATTTAAAATAAATTCATTATGTTTCCCGCTTGCGTGACGTAACGACCAAAAAGAAAACCCGGAAAACGTTGCGTTACACGTTGATTAACCGGCGCGCGTTTACTCACCGGCCGGCGTGTTTTCGCGATCATTTCTGTGGAATTCGTTGTCGGCGGTAAGCTATTTCGCTTTCTTCCATTATCTGCCGTCATATAGTGACGAATGGATGAGCATCAAACTCATTATTTCTTGGCAAAGGGTGGGCGAAGCGCGCTGAGAGCCAGTGGGTCTGTCCATAAACCCACCGGAGTAGCACCTGCTAGTTTCCACTGAGCTAACTGCCCCGGCGTCTTTGTTATTACATTTTTTTGAATTGAACGTCAGTTGTACGTTCAACAGACTCAACTGAACGTCATTCTGGTAGATTTGGTCTGCTCATGTTGTCCAAAATGTATCACCAATGACCTAACGCTTGTCTTTGGATGTCTCCTTAGACATCATGGCTGCAGATGACATAGCCCAGCTGGTTAATGTTCTTTCCAAGACCCATTTAGGAGATGGAGAGCTAAACTATAAAGGCCTGGGGCTTAAAATGGACAATGCAGAATCAGGTTTGGGCGCCAGCCAGTCTAAACGGATGTCAATCAGATGCTCCCTGTTTTATTAAAGACGTTTATTTTTTACAATGTGTGCTCCTACAGTGGAGGAGCTTGTCCAGGAGATCGAACAGCACCAGGATTTGAAAGTCTTGCGCTTGGAGGGAAACACGTTGGGTGTGGATGCAGCCAGAGCCATTGGCAAAGCACTGGAAAGTAAAGATCAGCTTCAGGTACACATTATCAAGGCAAAGAACTTTTGTCTTACCGTATGTATGACTTTGTTACACACTGACTCTATGATACATAGACTGTAATGATTCCTAGCCAGGGTGCCATAGCAAACAAGTGTGCCGTGAGAGATCGTGAATGGTACCATGGGGAAATTCTCCAGTTTCACATAATGTGTCTGCAAAGTATTATTTATGAATTACAAATATACCTTGGGTCTTCTATGACAGTAACATTGATCACCTGTCTTTTTTTTTTCTTTTTTTTTTAAAGAGATGTTACTGGAGTGACCTTTTCACTGGAAGACTACGCTCCGAAATCCCAGTGGCCCTGGTGAGAAGCTCCCCGAATCAAGACTCATCTAAACCACATTCATGACTTTATATGTTGTACATTGCCGGCATTAGCATGCTTCGGTGGAATCGCAAAGTACAGTTCTAAAATTTCTTTTTATGTTTTCATCAGAGATCTCTGAGTAGTGGATTAATGATTGCCGGGGCCCGTCTAACCGCACTGGACTTGAGTGACAATGCTTTTGGACCGGATGGCGTCAAGGGGATCGATCAGCTACTCAGAAGCGCCGCGTGCCACACCTTGAGGGAGCTAAAACTCAACAATTGTGGGATGGGAGTCGGAGGAGGAAAGGTGAGCTCGGAGGAGATGAGAAATCATGACAAACCACCGCTAAATACTTTCACACTGTTTTTTCTTTGTCGAACTGATCATGAAAATGCTTTGTGGTCTCTATAGATTCTTGCTGAAGCACTGATGGAGTGCCACAGACAGTCGTTGGTCGTGGGTACGCCACTCAGACTCAGAATATTTGTTGCTGGGAGGAACCGCTTGGAAAACGAAGGGGCCAGTGCCTTGGCCAGGGCCTTTCAGGTACGAGTATCTACATGATTGACACGACTTTGAATACACCGGCTTCAGGTAGAAATAACAAATTAGATTTATTTATGTGACACTTCAGCTGATGGGGAGCCTGGAAGAAGTCCACATGCCGCAGAACGGCATCAACCACGCGGGCGTGACGGCTTTGGCCGCGGCCATGCGACACAACGCGGATCTGCGCGTGCTCAACCTCAATGACAACACCTTCACAAAGAGGGGAATGTTGGCCATGGCTCAGGTGAGGCCTCTCGACTCGCAACACATTCATCACACAAAATCATTCCTAACGCTGGTTTTCTACTCCTGTCGGCCACTACAGGCTTTGGAGCACCTGAGGAACATCCAAGTCATCAACTTTGATGACTGCTTAGTCCGTTGCGAAGGCGCCATCGCCCTGGCGGCAGTCCTCAGAGAAGGATTGCCGGTCCTCAAGGTCGCTTTCACGCTTTTGCTTAACTAATATTTGGACTAATTGACAGGCAATCACAGTCTCTAACGTTTTTTTCTAGGTTTAAAACTGTCAGTGAAACTCCAATTTGCCAACTTTTCTCCAATGGTGTTCAAATCTGATTTGATGCTGGCCTGCATGACAAAATTCAGATGTTGGTCTCCAGACAAGACAAGACGTAGACTGCCGTATGACATGATTGTGTCACGTCTGCCGACAGGAGCTGAATCTGTCCTTTGGCGAAATCACAGAGGCGGCGGCCCTCGTGGTGGCACAGGCGCTCTTGGACAAGCCTCACATGGAGAAAGTGGATCTGAACGGTAGACACATGAAGCACTCAACAGCCAAGACGGAGAAGATTATGTCTTTGTCTTTCTGCGTATGACCTGTGCGTCTCTGTGTGTGTCTGTGTCCGCGGTTGGCCGTGACAGGCAACTGCCTCGGGGAGGAGGGCTGTGAGGCTCTAAGGGGAGCGATGGAGGGCCAGGACAAAGGAGACATGCTGGCCTCACTCAGGTAAAAAAAAAAAAAAAATGGAGTAAGTGCAGTTTGCTCAGAGTGACTCTAATTCCAATGGTTGTTTCTTCGTAGTGATGATGAGGGAGAAGCTGGTGAAGAGGATGAAGAAGATGACGATGAAGGACAGGATGATGATGATGCTGATGCAAGTAATGGATATCATGATTGGAACGAAGAAGACTTTGTTAAAGAAAATGGAACCACAGCAAATGAAGAGAGTCCTTATCAATCCCAGTGTCCTGTAAGACGACAGTCGTTGTTTGTGTCAAACTTTATCCTATTCCAACCATTTCTGTATTTTGGGTTATTTGTTGCCAAGAGTAGGTCATAATCGGAGAAGTGTCTTTTATGATGCAGTGCAGTTCATGACCACCACAATGATAAATGAATTCATCAAATACTGTAGCTCGTGGACAGAAATGGAGCATTGTTACCTTTGTTAAGGCAAATGTCGCCTTTTGTACCTTACGTTGGGGCAGGTGAGTGAGTGTAGATAAAGAACAGCTGTTTTTTTTTTTTTTTTTTTTTTTTTTTTTTTTGTGTGTGTGTGACACCTTAGGAAGAGGTCGTCTCTTTTCTTGATTGCCCGTCTGCCGTGAAGCTTCTTGAGCTGGGAGAGATGAGGAGACATCTGCTACCGGAGGTGGGGAGGGAAAAAAAAAATTCAGAGTGACAGCATGATTTTGTGTACACTTGACAATATTCCTTCCTTTCATCAGGTGAACATTTTGGATCCACACAAGGCCGTCGAGGTCCTTCTCAAAGTGGGTTCTTTGTACAGCGAGGAAGCAGTGGCGAAGACTGCAGTGCTGGAAACTTTTGGTAAGGTGGTACTTTAGGGGAGAAACTGGGGATGGATCTGGTCCCACTTGTCTTTTGTCCTCTGAGAGACGTGCTAAGAAATGTCTCCATCTCATAGACATGCTGTTGAGGAAGCTTCTGTCTGGCTCGGCTCTCCAGGCTTACACCAGCCTCTCCACACTGCTGGTCCTCATAGGAGCCCTCAAGGTACCACCAGAGCCTCCTCTCACAATGGTTCCAAAGAACTATGTTGAAGTGAGGGGAAGGAAGCCCTCGCTAATAGATTTCCTTTGCCACTATTTCTGTTCGTGTGTTTCAGGGGGAAGGGAAGAGGAAAAAAGTGCCACTTGCACCGGGCCTGTTGTTGTGTTTGGAGCACGCGGTCCAGCAGGACTACTTGGCCCAGCACCACGCCTCACTGCTTCACACCATCCTGTCTAAGTAGGGACGACATCTTCACAATGCCACGGTGCCATTCTGGGGTGTTTGTTTATACGCGGCGCTCGTTTCTGTGCATCTCTCCAGGAATCGCGAGGCTCTCAAGTCATGCAGCGGCAGCGGGGACAGGTTAAGGTCCGCGCTTGAGAAGAGGTGCCTTGAATAAACCCAGTTAACCACCAACAGGTTACACACGAACACACTGGGATGTACTGGGGTAGATTTTCTCTAAAATAGAGGCTTCTGCCACCACTTGATTTCCATCCATTTGTATATTTTTTTAAAGGCATCTCCTCATTTTTTTGATTCAGTCGAGGGATTTATATTTTTTTATAGAAAATACACAGAAGGGAGAACAAAATGGAGGGTTAGTTGTTGAGGTGGGTAAAAGTTTACAGTAAACTGGCAGCTTTTTGTTCTGTTTTGAAAGTATGCACTTTTACACTGCTTCAAAAGGGTTTTATTCGTAGAGGCACTCCCTACTGTTACTACATCCATATCAGTTCATTATTTGACAGCTCTCTTTGACCCTGGAAATAGACAATCAAAACAAATGTTCCTCACTCTTGTTGGTGTGTACCGTTTTTTTAAAACGTAAAGAACATTTTGACACTGAAGGTCCAAACTGCCCAATTCCAATTGAATGTGATGTCAATTTCAACACAGCCTATCCTGTACAGGGTCGCCGTCCCTTATTCTCTCTGAAAATGGAAAAGTGGAAAAGGGAAAACCTATGAAAACATTATCCTTTTTTTTGTGTCATTCAGCAGTCTTAAAAAAATCATGTGTTCCACTTTTGAGATCACATGTCGAATTCCACAATTACCTCATGTGCTTAAAAATTCTGATGTAACTGCGCATTTGAAGGAAAAGGAAATATCCTGTAATTGCGTTTTAAACATGTTGACTTGTACTGAATCCTCACAAATAGAGCTAATCCAACAAGCCTGACTCTGGTTTTGTCTGTTGTCAAATTACCCATCTCTCCCCCCCTCTTTCTTCAATAGTGATACATTTGCTGTTTTATCCTATAAAGACAACAGTGACATCCTTGGGTACATTTTCTAGTGCAGACTGATGAGCAATACACAGCTAAATCGGCAATGCAGGTGCGATGCACTCTGTAATTAAATTTCTGTAAAACAACACCCGCAATGGACACCATTTAACTCCGAAAATGTTAATATGACACTTCAGGGGTTGAAATCAAATCCCTGAAATGTTTACACATTTTTTTTTCCATGTGGTCTGTGTGTGCGTGTGTGTGTGTGGGTGGGGGGGGGGGGGTTAGAGTGGGCGTATTAGTGAACGAGGGATTAAACCCAGTTTGTTTTGGATTGGGAAGGGGGCAGCAGCCCGTGAGAGACAGCCGGTAGAACCCACCAGCAAACGCACGGACCCAAGGTGAGTTCACTTTACAGCCTAAACCTGTTTGAAAATATGACTTATTCTTACTCACAAGAAGTTAAAAAATTAGCAGTCACCGCATGTGCGATACTAACAACTTTTTTTGAGGACATCTACGTCAATAAAACGGGGCGAGGGGGTTTAATCTGGATTGATATACGGCGTTTCGAGTTTACGAACGGTGTGCCATATACTTCACAACGGTGACAAAACAGCACGCTCACTACTGTTGTTTTTAATATTTATAGCCTAGACGTGTTTTTCACCCAAATATTAACTTTGTGACTTTAGTACTAACTGAAATTAGCGCAGGTTAGTGAGCAAGACGGCGATGCGGCAGAGTTGATGCACACTTTTACCCCTTTTGCTCAAGCGCACACATTCAGTGCAAAACCCTTTTTGGCACCGGCTTCTCGGGAGAGACACTGGGCGTCTTTGTGCACAACCGGCGAGTCTGCATGCGTGCTCCTTCTGCGGTCAGCACTGTTGATCTCAGGTGGGGTGGGGGGGATGCGCCCAAATATTCCTGGAGGCGGAGGAAATTCCCCCGGCTCTCATTTCTTGGGCCTCTCTCTCTCTCTCTCTCTCTCTCTTTCCCTTGTAACAAAACATTAATTAGATGTTTTTGTCATGATGTGAGGACACCGAAAAGTTGAATTTCTAAATTATCGCTTGTCCTCATTAGGTTCACTGGTGAATTTTACCCCATCCCAGCCGACTCTTGAGTTAGTGACCAGTCAATCACAGGCCACTAATAGAGACAGACCACCTTTCACACAGTTACTGAATGGAAATGGAACCCGCAGCTTGCACCAAAGTCGGCCGAGTGAACGTTACACCGTCGGCGACTCCAAATTTCTTCGTGTGGAGATTTCCGAGCCCATTGTTGAGGATCAAGGCGGTTGATCCAACATGGGAATGTGGTTTTAAGGCATTCCAGTGAGCACTGTGGCTGGCTCATCTTGCCAAAGTGGCACTAATCCCCCCCACCCCCCTCTGAGAGCCCCACCCCTTAAAGTGTAGAGTCACATTCATTTTAACCATCAAATGCAGTCCTGGCTCATAATGTCAATCAATCTACATTGTATCCTCTCCCTAAGAACCCAGCTCATTTTGTTCATGTTCTAAAATAAAGCCCGCCTGTGTCTCGCTCTCCATTTAGCACGCTTGACAAAAACCCTCCTATTTGGCGCTTTCAGATGTACTCCCGGCTCTCTCCTGACACCCTGTTGCTTCCGCTGATCGGCCTTACGTTCCTCTTCCTCCCCGCGGCGCACCCTGCAAAATGCCCGAAGCAATGTGTGTGCGACCAGATTCAGCTCACCGTCACCTGCGTCAACAAGAACCTGACCGAGGTTCCTCCCACTGTGGACGAGGTACGAATAGTATCAATTCTCCATTTGCATGTTTGCCAATTTTGGTGACCAGGAACAGTTGAAGTGAGTTGAAGAACTTCTTTTGGACCGAAGTCATCTTTTGGTACCAAAATGAGTGATGCCAGTAACACTCACTTGCAGATTTTCACTTTGCTTTCCTCTGTGCGTAGATTACAGTGAAATTGGACCTTCGAGGGAATGACATCCAGGAACTCCCCACCGGAGCTTTCAGACAAACCCCGTACCTCACTCACCTATCTCTGCAGCGCTGCAACATCCGTAGGGTGAAGGAGGGAGCGTTCCGAGGCCTCGGCCGCCTGGTCTTCCTCAACCTGGCAAGCAACAACATTGACATCCTCTACCAGGTGGCCAATCCATGCCCTCTTAAAATTCCTGGGCTCAACGTAACCCAAATTGGGTGCAATACCTGACCCAGTGCTTGTTCGAAATGGTTTATTTATCTGAAAATGTTACATTTCCAACAACTCGAGTACACAAAATGCAATTTGCTGGGTCAAAATACAGTAATTAACCAATTAAGCTTTGCTCTGTGACATACAGGAGTCCTTCGACGGTCTATCCTCGCTGAAGCAGCTCATGATTGACCGGAACCGCGTTGAGGAGATCCAGCCCGGAGCGTTCTCGCAGCTCGGCTTCCTCAACCTGCTCTCGCTTACGCACAACCAGCTCGTCTACATCCCAAACATGGCCTTCCAGGTAAGCACGACGACAGCCTCATGCACTGCCGCGTGAACGTCAAAAGAGATGGATTGTCTCTCCTCCCCGACAGGGCTTGCAGAACATCAAGTGGCTTCGCCTCAGTCACAACTCTCTCAACTACTTGGACATCGAAGCCTTTGCGGGCTTGTTCACGCTGAATCGGCTCAGTCTGGACCACAACGAGCTGCAGTTTTTCCCAACCGAGACCATGACCAGGTGGGCTCACATTAGAGCTGGGTGATGATACAGTATAATGGCAACGACTAAATCAGATCATCACTCAGCTTTCATGGAAGAAATTTTACAGAAATCTAAGAATATTTACAGTTGAACGGCTAAAATTCCAAGGATTTAGACCATTATAAAGTGAATAAGCTCTCAAAACTCATCCATTTTCTGATATATGCTATACAATACATCCTGATTTATATAGCGCTTTCACAATAGCTGCAGCTGTAACAAAGCGTTTAACAAAACAGTTAAATAAAATAATAAACAACAGTATATGAGAATAAATTGAGGCTGCTTTTTTGTTGCATTAAAAAATGCATTTAATTCATTTTACCGCTAAGGCTGTTGTGAAAGCGCTATATCAATAACCGTATCATGATAATAAATGACAATAAAAATGTCTTGAGGTACATTTTAGACATTGCAATTCTGATATTGCAATATTGTATTCAACATTAATTAATATGGCATGTTTTTACAATGTGTTGCTTTGGCGCCATCTTGTGGCGTTTTAGGCCATTGCACAAAATAGCCACATAATATGTTCCGATTCCGCAAATAGCTGAGTACAGGCTCCCCCCAAAATATAAAGAATAAATACACGAACGAACTTAATAGTTGTATTAATGAATCGGCAGTGGTTCAATCTAGTCAGATACTGACAATAACATGGAACCCTCTTTGGATAGATTGCCAGGAGTGACCCGCCTGGACATGGGTTACAACCCCATGACGTACCTGGGTGAGGAGTCCGTATCGATGGCCAAGCTGAGTCACCTCTTCCTGGACCACATGTCCCTCCAGGACCTGGCCAACACGGCCGTATCCAAGTCCCCCGGCCTCACCCACTTGGATCTCAGCCACAACCAGCTCCGTGTCATCCAACCGTTCTCGGATGGCACCCCGAATCTGGCACGGCTCCACCTGGCCGGAAACCCCATTTACTGTAACTGCTACATGCGTCCGCTCAGGTACCAGCAAGCCCCTCTCAGCACACCAATCTCTCTGGACTCCACTCTGGATTTTTATTTTCCGCTGTGTTACAGGGAGTGGGCCATCCGTAGTAAGGTGAAGCTGGTGGGAACATGCGCGGGACCTTCACATCTCTCCGGAGAAATGCTGGAGGCCGTCCACCCTCCGGAGTTACGCTGTCAGACTCAGGAGGCCATGCTGAAGGCGGAGTTTGAGGAAGCAAATAGAAGAGCGCCGCCACCCACCGAGGAGCCGGAGAGCAAAGTCAAATGTCCCGCAAATTGCGTCTGTGAGGTGAGCCCGGCTATTATGAAAGGAACGTCACTCAATGTGTCATTTCTTGCTCTTTTTCAATTAAAGAGTAACTGGAGCAAGTGTATGTAACCTTTAATGAGCCAAGGAGCTTCATTTCGTGACTTAAAAGTCAGTGAAAATACCATCTAGAGTGGTCCCTTAAGATACAAGTGCGGATTTCTGTTGCCTTTTTGCTTTAATTTGAGAGCAAACATTTGTGTGACAAGTTTTTCAAAAAAAGAGGCTTCAAGGTGCACATTGCCACTCCCGGTTAAAGTTTACAGTCAAACAGAGTTACACATCATGTATATAAAAGAATCAGATAATCTTCTGTTTAAGTCACCTAGCTCTATGCTAACACAGAATGGGAAACGCCATAGATGGGCTAATGAGGTAAGAAAGGAGAATATTTTTAACTTCCCCATTTCTTGCATGATATCAGATCGAGGCGCACCATTCCTCCTGTGAGAACCGCGGTCACACCAAAGTTCCTCGGGGTTTCTCTCCGGACACGCGCCTCCTGGACCTGCGCGGCAACAACTTCCACTACATCCCGAGCAACAGCTTCCCCGGCGTGTCCCAGGTGGTGTCGCTGCACCTGCAGCGCTGCAAAATCGTGGAGGTGGAGAACGGAGCCTTCAATGGCATGAAGGGCCTCATTTACTTGTACCTCTCGGAAAATCTCATCTCATCCCTCAGCCCTGAAGCATTTAAAGGTATTTGGAATACACAAACGTAAACAGATCTCTTAGTATGAGAGTCAAATGCAGGGGGCAATTTTGGAATGGAATGAGGGTTGGCCCACCCCGTGAGTTCTCCCGTTTCTTCACAGGACTCCCTCAGCTGACTTACCTCCACCTGGAGAAGAACAACTTCAGCGTCTTCCCGAAAGGAGCCTTCAAATTGCTTCCGGGACTACTTGCACTTCATTTGGAAAACAACTCCATTGCCAAGCTTGAGGCGAACGCCCTGAATGGCGCCGAGAGCCTCAGAGCCCTCTACCTCACCGGGAACGCCGTTGACCACGTGTCACCTAAGGCTCTGGAGCAGGCCGCTGACCTCGATACGCTCCACCTGGCAGGGAACAAACTAAAGGAAGTGCCCACTGAAGCCTTGAGCAAGTTGGGGAACGTGAAGGACCTGAGACTGTCAGGGAACGTCATTCGCTGGGTGGGACCGAATGCTTTCCAGCCGTTGGGGAACTCACTGAGGGAGCTTTATTTGGATCATATGGGATTGGAGAAGGTGAGTGGAGCTTGTTCCCGTCGTGTCCTCAGAAATGATTTTTATTGAGTTTGAATGGATGACTTTCAACATGGCCAGACCCACTGAATCTCCGGGTTTCATCTTTTTTTTTTAACCTCCTCTCCCACCAGATGTCGCAGAATTCCTTGGCAGGCTTAGGTCCGGGTTTGAGGAGTCTCTTCCTGGAGGGTAACCAACTGGAAGAGGTGCCGGACCTCCATCCGCTCACCTCCTTGGAGGTCATCAACCTGGCCGACAACCCTCTGATGTGCGACTGCCCTCTGCTGCCACTACGCCTGTATGACAACTTTTTGCTCAATTTATTCATTGTTTGGGGCTGACTGAAGTTTAATATGAATGATTTGGCACCCGTGAATCTAGACTAGATCGGTGGTTTGGCATAATAGATTTGTCAATCCGAAATCACTCTCACCTTTTTGTGGCAGATCCCACATTTTCAATATGTTCCCTTTAATCTCCTCCTAGCTGGATTGAGAAAGTCAACCTCAAGGTGCGAGCCACCTGTGCCAACCCGCCTGAGCTGAAGGGTCGCAGAGTCAAAGACGTCCATGTTTTCAAGGCCTGTCCGGGAGGCGAAGCCCTCCCCTCTGTTCCCGGCATTGCCCCGAAACGCGCCAAGACGCCGAAGGCCACGAAACCCAAGCCGGCGCACCTCGGCGGCAGTGTAATGCAGGGTAAGATGCTCAAAAGCAACTTCAAACTTCGCAAGAGTCCAAAGACGAAAGCAGCCAAGAAAACAAAGAGACTGAGCAAGGTGTGAACATGCTGTGTGCTTACTAAACCAAAACTACACGTTTCAAGTTTGCAGTCTGTTCTCAGATGAAAACAAGCATTCAGTCAGTCTTCATAGCCTTAGATGCACATTATCAATGACGGCCATGTTTTGTTTGTTGTTTTTTTTCTTTCAACTTAAATGATCAGGATCGTTAATCAGGCTCCTTTAGAGGTTGCCGATGAGCTGATCACTTGAATCCGGTACATTGGAAGAGGGAAAACATGCAGGATAGCGGCCCCTCGAGGACCGAAGCTTGACACCTGCACGAGCATTTGCAGTGGTCATGAATACAGAACTGACAATTGGCCTCATGCTGGCAAAACTGCACTGCGCAGATTTGCAAATACATATCGTCTCTCTGTGGGGTGCCTGCCCGCCCATCAAGTGTGAAATAAAACATCCAAGTAAGTCTTCTGTTATCTGCTTATTTCGGAAAACATGTCTCCAAGTGAGCAGTACTGCACTTCCACTTTCGGCTGTTAGCGAAGAGCAGTGGCGATCCAAAATGGAATAGCACACTGTGCAAGGCCCCTGCTTTTGCGCTCCCCCCACCAACACAGATTTTAAAAAAGAAATTACACACAAGCACACACAATTGAGTCAACCTCATTTTCTTTAAAAATTAATTGAAATATAAACCAAAGAAAAAAATCCATTACAATCATTACAATCTGTGATTCCATCCCAGCCTATTGCGTCCGGTCCCCTCATTTCCACTTGTGGGCCTCAGCACAAAAGCATGTTTTCTTCTGGAGAAAGGTTAAACAAAAAAATAAATACATAAAAACCACCAGGCATCACCTGATGTTCCGCAATCCCTCTTGTAAGGCTTCTTGAATTGCAGCCTTATGTTGGAGTTTGACTGGAGATCAGGGTCTCCATTTCCACCTCCTCCACTTTCACTTCCACTGTAGCGACTGAAGAGATGCAATCATGTCAGCTGGCGGCCATAAATATGATACATACGGCTACAAAATATTCATCCGGCTTCTGTTCACTTACTTTCCCGCTCTTCCGGTTCTCCTTTGGGCTGAACCGGGGGCAGGTTTGGAAGAGCCGTTTTCCTTTTCGTCGTCGACGGCGGTGAGACGGTCACATTGCCCGAAGGCGGCTTTTGATCGTCGTAGCCGTCGTCGCCATTGTCCTCTTTTGCGTGAGGAAGAAGGTGCGAGCGCTTCTTTGCGTTCCTCCGCTCTATGGTAAAGGAACATGAAGCATTGGTCTGAACACATGTCGGAAAAACAAAATGAACCACGGCAAGTAGGAGGGCTTACTTTTTTTCTTCAACAAAGGCACCTTTGGCTTCTTTGCCTGGACCGCTTGGTTTTCCACTACTGGGGACACCGAAAGCGCCACAGTCGGTTTAGTCCGTATTTATGTATGTATGTAAAGACTTAAGACCATTGTTGCATTGCAAGCATTTACCGAGTCCAGGGGGCGGCTGGAGCTGGTAGCCGATGAGCTCACACCATCCAATGGGGTAGAGGTCAGGGGACTCGTAGTTGACCCACTGGTCAAAGTCATCGTCCCAGCCGTCGAAGTGGATGAGGAGCAGGCGTCCCACGCAACGCTTCACCGTGGCCACGCACACCAGCCGCGGCTCCATCAGGTCCACCGCTTCGAGTTTCACGTCGGGGGAGATGCCGTGACCCGGGAAGTCCTGCGCAAGGTGCAGAAACGCGCGCGGTTGTCGTGAATTCAAGTTGAGAGCGGCGGCGCGTTCAGCGATTTTAAAAGTTGATCTTCATCATTCCTTACAGTGTTGAACAGATGTGGAGGTGCAGCTGTTGAATTGGTCTCCTTCAGGTAATGTTCCCAGGTGAAGGTCTTGGGATCAAAACCTGTCAGGTTAACACTCGGGATTGTTATCTTATTACGACTCCAGCGAACAAAGAAAACTATTCATCTATTTGTTGTGAAGCATTCACATGAATATTCGAAACACTGCTTTGATCCGTTCAGATGCAAGGATCCTTTATCAGTAATGTCCTCCTGGGCTCATTTAAGTACTCAATTAAGATTGATCCAATAGCTTGGCTTTTCGATGAAGTTTTTCGGCCATGATGAAATTCCCAATTACCTCGCGGCACGGTGAGAGGGATGTTATTCTTTCTGCAGAAGCCTTTGGGTAGGATGGCGTGAGAGGAGGCGTGGTAACAGAACCAGTCCGAAACCAGCGATGGCCCGCTGTCGAAGCCGACCATCAGGTAGCCGTCTGAGAGCACCTGCGAAAAGGTACGTTCGTGTCTTTTATATGTTTGTGCAGACTACAGAGTGGTTAGCATTTTTTATTTATTTATTTTTACCTTGTATATAGTTGCCACACAGATGCTACCCAGGTTTAGAGGGTCGATGGCCTCTATCTTCATTCCCTCCTCAAAAAAACATCCTTCCATGAAGACAAATCTAGGCTGGAGATGACATGTGAGGGACTTAATTTTGGAGCAATTTTTAAACAACAGGGCATTCTTTCAAAAATCAGCAACAACATACGCACTGTTTTATTACGATTACTGTTACAGCATACACAGCAACGGGGGGTTGCAGTTTACCTTTTTAAAGAGGTTGTATGTACTGTCACAATTACCCTTCAAACCAGCACCTGGAGATTTCACACCTGTGACGCACACACACAAAAAATAATAACCCAATGGTAATAAATTAGTCTAATTCTACATCCATACTAAAGAGTAAACAATTATTAAAATTGGGTGACTCACTGGGTGTTTTGATGTCATGACCCACTTGTTTGGACCAACCAATCGGGTGCAGGAGAGGACTAGCCTGGTGGCACCAGAAATCCGTAATGACGTTTTCAGGGGAGTCGCTCTGGTCCGTGTACAACAAGCGTAGGCGCCCGCCAGTAATGGATGCGATGACGGCCTTGCGGGTCCGGCTGACGTATTTGGGGTCGACCACCTCGACGCGCATGCCCACTTTGAAGGACTCCTGCTTCAGACTCTCGCTCAGCTTAAAGGAAGAAAGGCGCACATTGTGGAAACAAGTCCAACCCCCGTTTCATTCGGTGTTCACACGCTACATTGTGGACTATGACTGAAAAGCATTACAAACTATTATACTAAGGAGTACGTACAGTATGTCTCTTTTCACTAGTTTTACCTTGAGGTAGAACTCAACAGGCAGCGTGTGGGCCCCCACCAACTTTTTCATCAGATACTCTTTCCAGTCAAGGATGTTGGCCACATCTACAAGACACATTTAGTCAGCCACCTTGGCTGGAAATTAAACTTGAGAGTCAAGGTACCACTGAATATTATTTGGGAGGTTCCACACTCGAGTGTACGCTTAGCATGCTCACCTTGTGGAGGCACCAGGAGCTTGCCGGTCATGGCGCACCACCCGATGGGGTGCAGCTCACCCGAAACGAGGCTGCACCAGAAATCGCGGCTACTGTCATGCTCGAAGCCCTCGTATCGCAACAAGGCTTTGTATCCTGGCAAGAGTAAAGACAATATATTAGACACTTTTAACGTAGTGTTACAAAATGAGAATACTCCAAATTTACAACATAGAGGGAACGCCGTATGCACCTGCAACTTGTATGACAGTAGCGATCCAGTAAACTTTCGTGGGCAGGACTGCATTGCTGTTCAGGACTTCTACTTTCATTCCAACACTGATGTCGTCCCATTGGGCACACATGGGAACCTGCGGAAGCCAGAAAAACTATTTTCGTACTGCATATTTATATTTCAATAATCCAAAACAAAAGCTTTTGGGGTGCTCACAATTTGAGATTCCACTGTATTTAATGCACTCACGTGTCTGAAGCAGGAGACGGACGCCCCCAAGGACGTTTCCTTCTCCAAATAGTCACCCCAATCAAAAATAGCAACCGGTGCTGCAGAAGAGAAAGAAAATTAATCTTCTAGAGGAACAAAAGTACTCTGGGATAAGTCACAGGACCAGCCAAACTATGGAAAAAAAAGTACGACTTCTTGTATGAAAAATAGTTTTGTATATATTCAAGGAAAAAGCGTGAGTACATTGACCAGTTTGTACAATCACCAGATGAGTCTGTGTGTGTTTGCATGTGCAGCCCTCACCATCCAGTTCTGCCAAGCGAGCTTTGGTAAATTTGCTCAAGACTTTGGGCTTTTTCGCAAGGGGATTTTCCTGCAGAAAAAGAGGTACAGTCAGTCAATTTTCAGAGTTGGTCAACTCTGTAAACGGTGAAGCATCCGAACCAAGTGAATGTGGATTGACATACAAGTTAACGAACTGAAGGAGTGAGTTACAGGAAAGGGAGCATTGTAATGTTAAAAAATAGACATTGTGATTTCAATTTGTAGAAGATTACTTTTTTTGTTGACAGAAGCACATTATTTCTTACCTGCAGGCGTGTAAGTCCAGCTGCCTTCCTGAAGCGGGAAGCAAAGGAGCGTGCGCAGGTTATATTACAGAAACGCTTGCTTTTTGAGTAAAAGCTGCTACTGCAGCCAGTTGCGCCACACATCTCGCAAACCGCTGTAGAAAAAAAAGAAGCAATTTTAAATATCTTAATATCCCATTTTTTAAGCTTTCCCTCATTCTAGTATGCACTAACTTGTTTCTTCTTCAGCCTGCTCTTCTTGTTCTCCTTGTTTCTGACGTTCGTCATCACTTGGCCCATCTGTACGATGTGACCCTGATGGTACTATTTCATTGCTTTTTGTCTGTGAAGGAGTCTGAGAAAAAGACGCAGAAAGGAAATCTTTTTTAGAACCTTGTGGAGTGTAAAGTGAACAAATCTAAACAAAAACAACCACAACTCACTGTAATATTGCATTCTTTTGGTTCTGCATTCATCCTCTCGTGTTTGATAGCAGGAAGGCACGGCGGGCGGACAAACACAGTGGGAACCGCCCCGGGTTTCAGTTTCGGAACCCCGAAGGGTGATATGGACTCAAAGTAGTCTTTACCAAAATGATCACTGCAGAGGTGACAGTTGGGTGAGGCGAACCAATTGCTTCGAGTACGCTGAACCTGCTTCTCCCATTTATGAAATTCCTCGGGGTCTTTGGGGAATCGAAAAAGTGTCACGTCGTTCTCCGCAGTTTTGCCACATCCGTACGCCACACAGTGGGAAGACATGCTGTATTCTGCTAATCGAATATGGTTGTCGGCAGTCTTAACTCCGCAACATCCTTCTTTCAGGCGCAATGTTCTTAAATTCTGTGAATGAAACAGAATGCTTTTGTGTTACACTGTTTTAAGAATCGTGTATGACACGTGCAGCGAAACAAGGATTTAACAAGCAACGAGTAAACACGATAGACATCACGTAATTCATTTAGTCAAAATTAACGATGAATAATTCCTCCACGTGGGTTAAATTCACAGGGAAAAATAACCATTCTTTGCAGTTTTCACGTGTTGATAACCAACAAGTCTATGCTGCAGGCAGTAGGTCAGGCTCCGGAAATAATTTCACTGTAAAATAGGACTACAGGTATATTGTAATTATCACAGTATAAATGTAGTCTTATTTTAACCTAAAGTAACTAGTGCTGTGCTCACACAAAGCGCATCGCTAATTGTTTGCGTCGTTGGATTGATCGCCTCCAAACGAAATATTTTCACATGATCGTAATAACTCGTTGCATGTTATATTTATTTTTAAGTTACTTAGAGAAATGGTTCGATCGAGTTGTTTACCGGCAGATAGGATACACAGGCGGTCGCAGACGTTTTGCGTCATCGTTGTCGCTTGACTGTATTCTCGCGAGGCCACTTGCTTTGCGGGAGAGCGTGGGATTTGGCGTGAAATAAATATGGAATAAACAATTATGGAATTAAAGCCGAAATAGCAGAAAACAAGATTTGCTGGGCATCTTTCGAATATTGCCTGTGCTCACGCCATCCAAATGAAAATACCACACCCGACTGATTGTTTCAATAATCAAAACTATTTTCACTGTAAATGCACGTACTGTAATTGTTTTTAAAGATGAACCACCATTCTTAATGAGAAACGTGAAAAAGGTTTGTAGGCGACCTGTTGTTCCGCCAAACGTGCTGTCTGGTAATTAAACTTGTTGGTCGCCTTTTTGAAACATGGTTGTGAGACTGTTTGAAAAGGTCACTAATTATAGCGAGAAAATTGCTAAATTGGCATCACTGATTCTGATTTTGCAGACTAGCTACGCTGAACTACGGAATCTGTTCATTTGTATCAATTGAGTTTGCCACTATCTACACTTCAATCATGTTTTGATCCACTTGTGGACTGCAGTGTGTGACACAATCCAGATGGTGGGTTACAATGTAGTTGTCAGCGACCATTTCTCGTTGATGAATGTTATCAGTGATGTTGTGACTGCTACATTCCACCAGCTGCTGCTCTTGATGACCTCATTGGCTTGACATCAGCTCTGCAAATGCATCAAAGTAAGTAAAAGAACAAGCATCGGGACCTCCCTTGTGTATTGAAGGTAAATAGACGACAGTACAGACAATGATTCCTTCCAGAGCAGTACTGACATTCTAGAATGGACGTCCACACAAGAAACATCTTCACTGTCGTCGTACCTACTACATGAAAAACATCCCTCCATTCAACCATTCTTGAACCCTGTTATCCTCACGAGGGTTGCGGGCTTGCTGGAGTCTATCCAAGCTGTCCTCGGGCAGTAGGCGGGGTACACCCTGAGCTGGTCGCCAGCCAATCGTTGGGCACACATAGACAAACAACCATCCGGCTCACACTCACACCTAGGGACAAGTTAGAGTCTCCGAGTAACCTGCCATGCATGTTTTTGGAATGTGAGAGGAAAGCGGAGTACCCGGAGAAAAGCCACGCAGGCACGGGGAGAACATGCAAACTCCACTCAGGAAGGCCGCAGCCGGGATTGAACCCATGACCTCTGCACTGTGAGGCGGACGTGCAGACTAGTTGTCTACCATGGTAGGGCACCTTGAGGACATGAAAATTGATTTTAAAAAGAATAGATTGTGTCTTTTTGAATTAATCTCAAATTACCAATTTCAATGAAGTTGGAATGTTGTGTAAAATGTAATTAAAAAGACTATACAATGATTTGCAAATCCTTTTCAACCTACATTCTCCTGAATTGAGTTTTTTTTTTTTTTTTTTTTTTTGCCAATGCAGTATTCTCTCATTTTAAATTTGTTTTTTACAACAGGTCCCCAAAAAGCTGGGGCAGAGGCCACAAATGACCGGGATTGTTGAGGAATGCTAAAACAAACAAACAAAAAACTGTTTGGAACATTCTGCTGGTGAACAGATGAATTGGAAACAGACGAGTGTCATAATTGAGTATAAAAAGAGTATCGCAGAAAGGCTCAGTGGTTCACATTTAAGGATGGAAGGAAGTTACAGATTTTTTCTATGGTCTATAAGATCAAAACAATCCGAGAATCTGGAAAAAAATCTCTCCACACGAGCTGCAAGATCGAAAACGAACATTAAATGCCCACGACCCTCAAACCCTTAGGCAGCACTGCATTAAAAAATGGCATCATTGTGTGAAGGATATTGCCACGTGGGCACTTCAGAAAGCCCATATTAAATTTTCAAAATGCATGAAAATAATTTATCAATATATTTTAGATGATCAAATAAAATGCTGGGGGGGCCCCAGTGTCGCGCCATCCGTTCTCCAGCACAGTGATGTTCTTCTCTGCCAGGAACTGTCAGATGCTCAGGTTGTTGTGAATATCCACCTCTTCCTCCTCACTGAACCAAGCAAATGGAGAATAATGTCTTTGTTGATTGATAATCTGATCCATATAGAAGGTGAACATTTGTAGGTTGTAGTTTGGGTTTGAAATATACCTCTGTGACATCATTCCTGGATTTTTTTTCTGACAACACCTCCTACAGTGTAGATTTTCATACGAGGTACTGGTGATAACAGGGAATGTCTTTAAAACAAACAGTCAATTACAATTGAAAATAATAATATCAACATAAATAAGAATAGAAAAAAAATAACCGAACAATTCATTTTAGAGAGCTGCACGGGAATCTCAGAATGAAATCTATTTTGTGTGAAGCCCAGCCGCTTTGGTCCAATGAAAAGTAATTGCTGTCTTAATGTATTTATTCTACGGGTCCACGAGAAATCAGATCAACTGTTCTTAACACAAATCATAAGGAAAGGAGGTTTCGAAAGTCCGAAGCATTTATTTAAAATCAGCTTTTAATGTAAAGGGGGTTAAAGTTTTTTTTCCCCGCCACCATTGCATTGAGAGAAATCAATTTCTTTTGTTGCATGTTTACTTGTATTTATTTTGTGAAACTGACAACACCTCATCCTCACCCGCTCCCACCAGCGGCACCACCATCACTTGGCAGGCAAACGAGCCGTCTCTACCCGACATTATCTCCAGTCAGACTCCGCTGGAAAGGAGGCTGAAATGACGGATGCAGCCATGGACGAGAGACCCGGGGACACTTTATTTACACCCGAAGAAGCTGTCCAAGTTTAGGGGGAAGCCGCTGCGTGCGTTTTCCCCTCGTTACTTTCACCGACCCCCTCCTCCTCCGCTGGCAGAAATTTATAAAGAACAAAAAATCCGACGAGGGAGGGAGGAGGGGGGTTGATTATACGCCGAGGCTGAAATCGAGAGGCGAACCCAGGGAAGAGGAGTAATTTCTACACGGGACTTTCCCCCTCTTAATCCCCCCAAAGGAGGGGGAAAAGTCGCAATATTGGAAACGGAAAGGAATCAGCTTCTGACAGCGTGAAATCGTTTGCAATTGTGGATACTTTATATATTTTTATTTCGAAAAAAATATGGCCGAGAACGTTCTGGACTCTGGCCCGCCTTCAGCCAAGAGGCCTAAACTCTCCTCTCCGGCACTTTCCGCTTCTGCCAGCGATGGAAACGGTACGTACGTCTTCGATATATCACCGGTGACTGTCTTATTTGTTAACTTTGGATTTTTTCGCCCGTTTTCTTGCGCCTGGAATTGGGCGAAGACGCGGGATTCCTCTTGTGTTTTTGTCGTAGCTGGCTAACGTTAGCCGTGCTAGTAGCGTATGTGTCGGACGTGCGGAGCAGTCATGGAGGAGCCCTCCCAGCTAGCTCGCATGCTTCCAACCATTACAGCCGGAGCTAACCCCGTTAGCCATTTGCTAAGCTACCTAACTGAAGACTGGACCGTCCCGTGTCCAATTGCCTCGTTCGCCGGGCTTTATCATAAGTTGAATACACACTCAAGTGGTGCCGTTCGAAATACTTTATTACACAGATAACAAGCCAGTTACTGCCGGCCTTGTTTTACTGAAGTCGAAATCTTGCTAGCGTTTGAAACAAATCTGTTCCCTCCCCTTCATCACAAACCTGAGTTCCCCCTGGTTGTTAGCAACCGTTAAAGTTGTTCACGAAAAGCAGAGGTTGTCGACATGATGGGCCTTTTTCCTGAGTTTGTTATTATTATTTTTTTTTACTGGTACTTAGATTTATTGTCATAGCTGGGGTGTTTTTGTGGATGGATTATGGCAGCAGCTGGAAAAGTGGCCTGATCGCCAAAACTGAGGAGCATGGAGTATGGACAGCGCCATGTCCAAAGCATCAAAATTAGGTTGGCACGTTGACACCCCAACGTGCATTAAAGTCAGTTCTGTAGCAACCTCTTCGTGTTCTTTTTTTTTTTGCTCTATTAATGTGACATTGGATTGGTTGTCGTGTCAACCTTCGGTAGCCAAGTGGTTCAGCCATTACACACAGTCATCATACTTTGTATTCTACAGTTAAAGTACATTCAGATTACGGCAAATAGTTTGTTGACAACAAAATAACTTCTCTCGTCATGTTAAGACCGTTTCAGAAAATGTCATGCATTTTCTTCCCCTCACATTGTGTTAAATTGCTTTGGGGAGCACAATATAGGACGCACACCATCAAAATGACTTCAAAGTTAGGGTTCTGCTAACTGAAATGGATGCTCAACAAGTGGACATGTGAATTGGTGGGAATGTATATCAGAATAGTAGAGAAAGCTTTCATTGTCGTTGAAACTGCAGAAACGACTGCAATTTGGTGTTTAAAGAATGAAACGGAAAAAAATGGAAGCGATATATCAATCGTACAAAAACTACACTAAATATGAATTACACGATGCAAATGGCAGTAATGTAGTTTTGGTCCATACACAATAGCAGTGAAGACACGAATGTGGAATGTTCAAATCAACACTAAATATGTAGTGCAGATGGACCTATACATGCATATCGCCAACGTACCTCTGATTGATTTATGTAAAATATAAGAAGCTGACAAAGTAACATAAGCTGTAATGAGAAAACCAGAAAGCATACTCATGTTCAAGCAATTCTGTCTCGTAAGGGACTAGCACTACCCGTTTTGGTCAGAATTTCTAACAAATTTTGAGTGCAATAATTTTTTTCAGCTTTCTGCCATTTCATTTTGCTGTTAAACACAAAGGCTGTACATACTGAGTTAATGCTTTTATTAGGTATGTTTTTGGTGCGGGGGGGGGGGCATGTTCACAAGACATTTTGTGGTGTGTTTCCACATACTACTTAGCCTTCACCTGGAGCAATGTGCTTTGTGTGCTTATATTATGTTCACTGTCACAAACAACAACAACAAATGTAAGGGTTAGCACGTTACAATGTGGCTGAGAAAGCTTTTTGTATTTTCCTTGATTTGCCACCTTCACATATCCAAATTTTTTTGATCCGTTTCAGATTTTGGCTCACTGTTTGACTTGGAGCATGACCTTCCAGATGAGCTCATCAGCGCTAACGAACCAGGCCTTGTCAATGGGGGAGATCTCAACCAGTTGCACACCACCCTTGGGGGAGGCCCAGGTGGTCTCGGTCCAGGAGGAGGCAGCGGAGGCCCCGGAGGAGGGATGGGATTTGGGCTCGGTCCAGGAGGAGGTGCCGGAGGCATCGGCGGCGGTCAGGATGCGGTGGCCAAGCATAAACAGCTGTCAGAGCTGTTGCGTTCAGGGGGACCTACGTCCACCCCGCAGGGACACCAAGGGGCCTTGGGGAGCGCGGGAGGCCCTACCGCCATTGGACAACACATGGCAAACATGAAGGCATGCCCTGGGCAGGTACCTCAGCAGATAATGGGGCAAGGACAACAACACCTCTCCCCCCAGCAGCAGGCGAACATGATGCAGCAGAATGCCGTCGCCGGAATGATGGGTGGCATGAACAGGGCCATGATGGCGGCACAGCAGAAAGGAAATAACGGACAGTCGCAACCAGGCATGATGGGGAACCAGGTGATGAATGGCTCTCCCAGGATGGGCTTTGGAAATCAAGGGATGGGCGGCAACAGCAACCTGTTGGCTGAAACGTTGCAGCAACAGGGAGGCGGGGTTCAGGCAGGCATCAGAGGACAACAACCTGGTGCTTTGAACAAGGTGAGGACTCTTATTCACAGTCATAATTGGATTAATTTAAAAACCTGAGTCTTTCCGTCATATACAATCATGTACTTCGTCTGCCGTTTGAAATGTTAAGAATTTCTTCTACTGATATGTTTGACAATTAACTGGTCTAGTGGCATGCTGCCTGTATTGAATAAGTGGTGGAGGTTGAGAGATTTGCTACCTGTTATCGTTATTTTGCTGTCGTGGGAGCCTTTTTTTTTTTTTTTTTTTTAATGTAGAGCATTGGTCCCCAAACTACGGCCCGCGGGCCGGATCCGGCCCGCCTCCGCATTTGGTCCGGCCCCCTGAAAATACCACAGAGTATTTTGATTTATTTTTCATCGATGTGGATTTGTCTTTGATCATAAAGTTGGGCTTTTGCAATAAAATGGTCCTTAGTTCTGAACCGTTTTCATTATTAACTATTAATTAGCAACTATTTCATAAACAGATACAATAAGGTGACATTTGGTGCATCTTTCTGTGCCGTTATCTGGCAACGCCAGAAAAAAAAAATCCGAAACTGGCCCCTCTCTCAGAGAACGGGATCATGGCGAAAAGGTTCGGTAAGAGAAAAATAGAATGCAGGGTATTTAACCCAAAGTGGAAAAACGATGTTTTTGTTTCTTTCAGCGCAAAGAAACGTCTGTCAGTCTCATCTGTCAAGAGGCGGCTTCATTTTGTGTGGGTTTCTGGAAAACAATCCATTTTTACATTTCCGTACTCTTGCGGTCACCCTTTTTCTGTTCCAGACTGACCCCGGCCCCCCCATCACAGAAGCGAAAGCTTATGCGGCCCTCACAGGAAAAAGTTTGGGGACCGCTGATGTAGAGCATCATTTTGATGAAAAGAATATATTCTCCCTTGCACAGTTCTCCAAATCAGAAATAAAACGTGCTTTCTTCAAGCTCTTTATTTGTCACTCCCAGTTGAAGTTGACGGTAAAACACCCTAAAACCAGAGAATGAAACACAGCAGTTTAACACCAAAATATTAGAACGAATGTTGTAATATTTTTTTATTTTATGAACGTTTAAGCCCTGCCATATAACTCTAGTCTTATTTTCCCTGTGACAAAACATGTTAAAAAACATTTTGTTGGTGTTTTATGGGGCCTAGAATGCATGAATGGCATTTCCATTCACTTAACTCGCGGAGGAAAAATTATTTGATATGTTTTGTTTTTTTTTGTAGCGCTGGAACGTTTAAGAATTTAAAAATGGATTATTCTTAAAGTGTGCTCCCAAACCGTCTTCCTGGGTTACTTTTTATGAACCAATTAATGTTGTTAGTTTGGTATTTTTTTGTCCACTGTATTTGCATTGACTTGTTGGCAACTGTATTTCTGAGCACCAATAACCACGTTAGCTATACATGCTAGTTCCATTTGCGGTAATTGTTTTGTGGATGCCTGGTGGGACACATTGTATTCAATATATTGCATTTGTGGTTACATTGTTGTCAATTTCCACGGTGAAAATTCACCTCTGTTGACTCTTAGCCAAGTCTGCTCTCTCATGCGTACTTTTTTTTTTTTTTTACAGTGCGCAAAAGCTTGCGTGGACCCTTTCCATCACTGTCATTGTCCGCGGTTGTAATGTTTTCCTATGTGTCTTTCTAGATGGCGATGATGGGCAACCAAGGGGTCTCTTTTGGCGGTCCATATGCAGGGCAGGGGAATCAAGGCCTCGGGGGTGCAGGACTGGGCCCTCAACATCAGAATAAAGGCTCCATGGCCAACAGCCTGGCTCAGTTCAATGCGGACAAGAAAAGTCAGCCCATTCAAGGAATGGCCACCATGGTAAGAAATAGTTAAGATTGACTTTTTACTTCTTCACCCCTACTGACTGTTTTATTGAATGTGACTCGACAGTAACCCTTCACTTTGATCTGTTATGTGATCTTGTTTTTTCTCATTCTCTGTCCCCTCCTATTTCATAACTGAATTCATCAGCCGCCCGATTACCTCTTAATGTACTTACCCTGTCTCAACCATGCCACCTTGCTCACATCTTTTATTTATTTATTTATTTTTATTTTTTTGCAGGGCTCACCGCAGTCTCAGTCGAGTGTAAGCGGGCCCTCGGTTGCACCTGTGGGAGGGGCACCCGGCATGATTCCCGGTGCTCAAGGAGGTCTGGTGGGTCCCGGCACCCAGGTCTCGGCGGCCTCCGCCGCGGCCGGAGCGCCGCCCACCGCTGATCCCGAGAAGCGCAAACTGATCCAGCAGCAGCTCGTTCTCCTGCTTCATGCTCACAAATGTCAGCGACGCGAGCAGGCCAACGGCGAGGTCCGACAGTGCAACCTGCCTCATTGCCGGACCATGAAGAATGTCCTCAATCACATGACTCATTGCCAAGCTGGCAAGAATTGTCAGGGTCAGTTGACACACCACAAATGAATTCAACATGAATTACCTTCATAGTCACCAGTTGTCAATCCTTTCCCATCATTATATTGTAATGAACTCTTGAAAGGAGTTTTATTTAGAGTGCGGTGGATCTGTTCGAGACCCACTGTTATTCCACGTTGGCGTTTCCTTTAAAACTGATACTTTCTAGTCAAATGTTAAAAAAATGTGGAAATGAATCCACTCATGTTGGTTGTTTCTTCGTGTGAACTTTCCATTCTGTGTTGTGCACAGAGCAACATTTGCCACTTTGTGTCTGTTGTGAATGCTGAAAGGATTTCAGTTTCTTTACAAATTTGACTTCCGTTTTCTTGGCTAAAAACACTCGAGAGGACACACACCTAACCTACAGGAACAGCCGTTGATTTCATCTCTTTTCTTCCTCAGTTGCTCACTGTGCATCGTCAAGGCAAATCATCTCCCACTGGAAGAATTGCACTCGACATGACTGTCCAGTCTGCCTGCCACTGAAGAATGCCGGGGACAAGAGGAACCCGCAGTGTGAGTGTCTGTATCTGACCAAAAAAGTTTTTTTTTTTGTCCCTCTCTCTCATTGGAAGCAGTAGGCTCCGTCATTGAATGTTCAGTTTGCCATCGCAATTGTTACGCTTGCTTTAGTAATTTTGACAACAGAGAAGCTATCATATTTTCACGACCATACAGTGCATCGTATTAAAAGGCCTTTAAAAAAAATGTGTGTCTCACTGTCACCTGTTTTCTTCTGTTGTCACAGCTCTTCTTGGTGCAGCTGCTGCAGGTCTGAGCAGTTCCCTTGGGTCAGTGCCTGGTAGCCAAGCAAGTGCTCCGAACCTCAATCCGCCGAGCCAGATTGACCCGAGTTCAATAGAAAGAGCCTATGCAGCACTGGGTCTCACCTACCAGGGAAACCAGATCCAGGGTCAGCATTCTCAGCCCAACATGCCCAACCAAGCCCTCCAAGGCCAGCCTGGTATGAGGCCGATGAACCCAATGGGTAAGTTGGCTCCCTTGAAAAGAGATTTACAGGAGAAAGGGACATAAGTGCATTTTTAATGTGATTGGTGGTTAACACCAGTATATATGAAGTGATTTTTAATTGATTTTTTTTTTTGAACGTCTAGGAGCAAGTCCTATGGGAGTTAATGGCGGCGTGGGTGCCCCTTCTCAGAATCAACAAGCCAACTTACTGCAAGACACTATGATGCATCTCAATGTGAATAGCCAGGGGTACGCACAAGCATCCGCCTGAAGCCATTTGAATGGTCCTAATTTCTGAGCATAGCCTTGAACTCTATATATCTGCACCTCCGAATTGGTTTGCGGCAAATGTCTTTTCAAGATTGACGTTTGAAAGATGCCTTCCCTTTTTTTTGGGTTCCTCAGTTTGATGAATGATGGCAGTGGGGTGGGCTCCATGCCCACAGCAGGTCCTCCCTCTACCACAGGAATGAGAAAAAGCTGGCATGAGGACATCACGCAGGACCTGCGAAACCACTTGGTACACAAGCTGTAAGTACTGACAAAGATGTTTGCCCCCCCCCCCCACCCTCCCCCTTTGACCGCAACCTGAAATGACTTCTAAATGCACGGTGACTGGAGTGAAACTATTCAACTTGAAAAGTCACAAGATTGGACTTTGCAGTTCTCTTAAAATTTATAGGTAGGAAGATCAAACTGTGCACATAAATGTATTGAGTTGTGATTGCCAAGTGACTGTTCACCGGTCCACTACTTTTCATTTACATTTCAGTGGTTTGGAAAAAAATATTAATTATGTAGATGAAGCGGCGTCATGGTACAGAACCAGGAAGGGGGAGAGAAAAATGTGACGATGCGCCTGCGTCTGATATCTTCAGGGGATCATCATTATGTCATTGGTCTCCAATGCTGCTTGTGTCATTTCACTCATGTCTTTCTTATCGACAAACAGTTTTATTCGTTCTTATTTTGTTCCGTTAAATTGTAAAATTATTTTTTTCCCTTCACCCGCAGCGTTCAGGCCATCTTTCCTACTCCAGATCCCGCAGCTTTAAAAGACCGCCGGATGGAGAACTTGGTGGCTTATGCCAGAAAAGTTGAAGGAGACATGTATGAGTCAGCCAACAATAGAGTAAGTTGCCACAGGATGTTGTTTCACATCTGTTACCAGGACTGGTATTCTAATGTTGTTTTCTTTGACTTGTCTTTTTGGCTAGGCTGAGTATTATCACTTACTCGCCGAGAAGATCTATAAAATCCAAAAAGAGCTGGAAGAGAAGAGGAGGACCCGTCTCCAGAAGCAAGGTCTTGGTCTTGGGCCTGCCAGCATGGGTCAGTCTCCTGCTGGACTTCCTCCGAGTGAGTGCAATACGACGCGTGCACGGACTTGAAATGGGGTGGGGGGCGTATGCGAAAGATTTCTGTGTGTCACCTGAGAATCTTACAAAAAAAAAAGTGGGAATAGTTAATTAATAAATAGCTTGTAAGGGGATAGCTGCACCCTCTTATCATGTACATATCGTACTGTTTTCCAGACGGTCCCCTCCCTGACCCATCTATGGTACGACCCACTGGACCCAATCAAATGGTCAACAGGATGCAAAGCCCAGGTATGCAATCATTAAGAACCAGCCCACATTCTTTGAATTAAAAGCCAAGTATGGCGCCAGATCATGATGCATGTCGACAAGAGATTGTCTCACTGTTGTTGCAGCAAAATAACAAGCAAACCAAAGAAACACTGCACGTTTATTCCAGATGTAAATTGTGGTTTACAATTGAAGTGGTTGGTGTTGATCTAACAGTCGGCGTGTTTTGTCAGGCATGAATCAATTCAATCAGATGGGGATGCAGTCAATGGGCCAGAGGTCCACTCCTCCTCTCCCCTTGGGAGCATCTGGCAATCAGGTCGGTAAAAAGTGAACTTTACTTGTATTACCTGAGCTCACTCTGTGTCTGCATTTATTTATGGATCATTCTTTCCTGTTAATTGGCTCTTTTTTGTCAAATCGTTGTGAATAGGAATATTCGTCAATATGTCATTATTTTGCACAGTGGCCAATGACTGCTATTTATCGATCTACTCCACAGACAAATCAAAATGCATCTCTTGTGACATTACCCGTAGCATGAGTAATAACACTCTTCTTCACACAATTTAGGTTCCCTTGACTTGCCACACCCACTTGATTAAAAAAATTCTCCAATAATTTCTGTATCTCTAGATGGGGATCGTTGGACCTAGGATGGGTCAGCCTAACGTCAACCAGCTCCAGAACCAATATCTGTCCCAGGGGCAGTTTCCTGGCTCAGGACCTGTGGTCGGAACAACTCCTCCTGGGATGGCGCATCCCGGACCCCAGGGAGGCATGGCACAAGTAAGGTCAAGTGTGAGTGCCTGTGCTCCATTGTACCTCGGGTAGTGTGTGTGTGTCGTTGATTTATTATGCCAGGGTGGATTAAAGTTTGCCAGTGGAGCAGTGTCAAAAAAATCTGCGATTACCAACGGGCTTCGAGAGGCTTGGACTGCTGCACGATCAAGCTCGTTAACCAATTTGCCTCGTGCGACATTGAGAGACTGAGAAAATGCCTTTTTCTATCAGCAGAGTGGAATTATTAAAATTATAAAATTGGAATCAGAATTTACAAAAATTTGTAAAAAAAAAAAAAAAAAAAAAATTACACTAAGAGTCGTGAAGTGCATGTTTTATGTCAGCCAGGAAGTCAATGTCAATAAATGCCGAATATGGTTTATTTTCATTCCTATCCTGAACTGTCATTCTGTTCTATCCTCAGACGCAGATGGGCACTCCTCCCTCTCTCCCAGTTGCGAGTCCTTTAGCACAACCGGCTTCCGCAAGCGGTTCCAGCGGAGTCTCCACGGTGGGGCCCATGGGTCCTCAGAGTGTCTGTGGCGGAGGCCCCAACGTGACGGTTGGAGCCCCCACCTCCTCGATGACTCCGAATGCAAACCAGCAACCCAACTCCATCCCCCATTTAGGAGCCATGCGTGGCAGCTCGCCCTCCCCAGCTCACAGCCGCTCACCGACACCTCACCAGACACCCCCCCGACTCGCCGGCTCCCAGACCCCACAGCCGCACACCCCTAATGCACCGCAGTTGGCACCACCTCAACCCCCCCAGCAGAACCAGCTTGGTCAGGGTCCCGGCTCCAACAAGCCCCTCCAGCAGCCGCACATTGGGGCTGGCTCCACGACGCCATCTCACCCTGGACTTGGCTCAAGCGCAACACCACATGGCGCTCAGCTGCCGCGCACTCCGGTCAGTGTTGTTTCAACAGTTTACAACCATTTGCACGTCCGCCACTAAATCCCTAAAATGTTTTTTTATGGGGTTTATTAGGTTGGAGTTAGACTTTTATGTCCACGTGACGAGTTCTACTTTATCCCTATTTCCAACTTTTTAGACTATTTCAATGTTGGTGGTGAAACACATTTCATCGAAATAGTCTTTCCACTTTCCTCGGCATGAATCTAATGTTGTCCTTTTCCCCCCCTTTTTTTTAAGTTATATAACAACAAATGGAACTTTGTATTGTCCTCAAAATGCCTCTTTGAGCATTATTATTTGTAAATGAGAAACAGCCCTTAACTGTCCTTTTGTTTTTCCTCTCCTGCAGTTATCCCAAAAGGGTTCATTCCAAGCGGACAGTCAGGCTATGACCCCAGCCTCTGTCAGCAGCCTGGATAATTCCTCCCAGCAGGTACAGTCGGACACCACGGCCGCCATCCCAGACCATAAGTCAGAAGTCAAGCAGCAGGACGACGCCGAGGAGAGCGACTCCGGCGGCGGCTCCAAGGGGGGCAAGCTCGGCAATGTCAAAATGGAGGAGAGCCCTGTGAAGATCGAGGTGAAAAAGGAGGAGTGTTCCGCAGAAGGAGGCAAGGTAGTTCCAATGGATACTTCGGCCGCCCCGCCAATGTCGGTTGTAAAAACTGAAGACAAGAAACCAGAGGTGAAAAAGGAGTTGAAAGAAGAACAATCGTCCGACGCAGCTGTATCACAGGCACCGGCAAAAAAGAAGAGTATGGAAAACTCTGTGAACGAATGAGCTTGTTTTTTTTTTTTTTTTGTATCCTAACCAAAGTGTGTCCATTTTTAAAGTTTTCAAGCCAGAAGAGCTTCGCCAGGCCCTGATGCCAACACTGGAGTCCCTCTATAGGCAGGAACCGGAGTCGCTGCCCTTCAGGATGCCCGTTGATCCACAGCTGCTGTGCATACCCGTACGTAAGCACGCCACTTAGAGTCATTTTGTTTTGTTTTTTTGTTTTTGTTTTTTTGGTGACTATCCGTTCCTATAACCCTTTCCGCGCTCTTTCGATTTTTCTCCCAATTTCATGTGATGTAATACATGTTCGTCATGTCTTTACAGGACTATTTTGATATTGTTAAGAACCCCATGGATTTGTCCACGATCAAGCGGAAGCTAGACACGGGTCAGTATTCCTCCTCCATGTGACAGCATTTTCTTTTTCTTTTTTTTTTTTTTTATCTTGGGAAACTTGTAATGGGTGCAATTTACCGAGAATCTATTCCTGAATGCTCCTGTCGGGCTTCTCCGTGAACTCCGCTTTGCGTTTTGCTAATAGGTCAGTATCAGGATCCCTGGCAGTATGTGGATGACATCTGGTTGATGTTCAACAATGCGTGGCTGTACAATCGCAAAACCTCTCGAGTTTACAAGTGCTGCTCGAAACTGGCGGAGGTCTTCGAGCAGGAGATTGACCCAGTCATGCAGAGACTTGGCTACTGTTGTGGACGAAAGGTGAGATCTGGCAAGAAATGAAATGAAGACGCACTAGTATGGTAAAGCCCTTTTCATCGTGTATGTAGATTGTCATTTTTCTTTTGTTTTCGAATGCTTGTAGCAAGCCCTTCACTCATTCTTGAAATTGGAAGCCGTGGGTTTGGAGCTAAAATTGGACTCGCGCACGGCACTGCTGTATCGTATTTCTCATTAGACTTGTCTATATTTGGTTTTGCTGACAAATAAAAGAACCGAATGGTGCTTGTTTGCGACAAGGGTGAACCTCTAACAATGAAAACATTTGTTCTTTTAACATAAATCATTCCTCACTTCATCTATTAACCGGCAGGATGTTATTGTCCATCAGTTGGCCCAGGACTGCATCATATGTTCCCAAACTAATCATTTGTATTTTTGTTTGCAATTTTTTTTTTTTTTTTAACCATCGAAATAAAATTGTCGTTGCTTGTTTCTTTGCTTCGGCCCATCAGCTGGAGTTCTCCCCTCAGACACTGTGCTGCTACGGAAAGCAGCTGTGCACCATTCCCCGAGACGCTGCTTACTTCAGCTACCAGAACAGGTACAGAGGAAGGAAGTTCTTATCGTCGCGGCGAATAGAGAAGTTCGAAAAGAAGCGCAATTCACCAAAATTTGGGCTTATTGCTGACAGGTACCACTTCTGCGAGAAGTGTTTCAACGAGATCCAGGGAGAGACCGTGTCCCTGGGTGATGACCCCACTCAGCCGCAAACGTAAGTATTGTCGCCTTGGGTCACAAATATGAGGACGCTGAATGTATTTTTAAAGGGCCGTTAACCTCAAATGTCAAGATCAAGTTTTCATCAGAAAAATTGAGTTGACGACAGTTGCCGTCCCTCTCAGTTGCGCTTATTCGTGGAAGAAAGCAACAGCTGTCTATACATTTAGATGGGTGGACATTGCATATCGATAGAACGTTTGAATTTATTTTGCCACTGCAGTGTTCGCTCGCCCACGTCGTGAAATATCTTTCAGATCCATCAACAAAGAGCAGTTTGAGAAGAAAAAGAATGACACACTGGACCCTGAACTGTAAGTTTAGCAGCTCACAGCCAACAGATTTTCACACCTGAGTTTGACAAAATGGCATGTCATGTGGATCTTCATTTTTCTTGATTTAAGGCTTGTTGAATGTTTGGACTGTGGACGCAAAATGCACCAGATTTGTGTCTTGCACAATGAAACAATCTGGCCATCGGGGTAAGGGGCTTTTGTTTTATTTTTTTTTTCTTTTCTTGTCATCACATGGAAAATTGACTGAAGCTCCATTTTGTTTTTTTTAATTTTGCCTCAGTTTTGTATGTGATGGCTGCCTCAAGAAGTCGAATAAGACAAGGAGGGAGAACAAGTATTCTGCTAAAAGTAAGTAACTTGGTCTGTGTTATTTTTTGTTAGTGGAATTAAAAAAAAAAAAAAAACGTCCCTGGTTTTCTTCTCTCTCAGGGTTGCCTCAGACGAAGTTGGGGTGTTTCCTGGAGACGAGGGTGAACGACTTTTTGAAACGTCAGAGTCACCCAGAGGCCGGTGAGGTCTTCATCCGGATGGTGCATGTTTCGGACAAAGTTGTGGAAGTGAAACCTGGCATGAAGTCCAGGTACGTCAGCAACAGGGCGGCAACATGTTCAAGTTTTTATCTCTAAACGTCATTCGACTTCTTCTTTGCTATTGTGTTTTCAAATAGCCGGGTTTTCGTGATTGTCTTTTCAGATTTGTGGATAGCGGAGAGATGTCGGAGTCTTTCCCGTACAGGACAAAAGCCCTTTTTGCATTTGAAGACATTGACGGCGCGGATGTCTGCTTTTTTGGAATGCACGTTCAAGAGTACGGCTCAGACTGCCCGCAGCCTAATCAGAGGTATGCACGTTTCACACTTTTTGGGGTGAGTTCCAATCGAAGAAAAGGCAACAATGCGGAGCTCCCGGAACATCTGCAAAAAAGCTGCAGGGGTTGAAACTTGGGGCTTCATTAAATTAAACTAAATTGTTGACTGCTCTCTTATAATCCCTTCAGGCGAGTTTACATCTCGTACCTGGACAGCGTGCATTTTTTTCGGCCGCGAAGTCTGCGAACGGCCGTTTACCATGAAATTCTCATTGGCTACTTGGAATACGCCAAGAAGTTGGGGTGAGCTTTTTTTTTTTCTCCTCCAGAAATCAAGTCGCTGTGATAGAGTCCAAATTCTGCCCATCAGCATTTGTGCTCACTTTTTTTTTTTTTTTGGATCCTCCCCAGCTACACAACTGGGCACATCTGGGCCTGTCCGCCCAGTGAAGGGGATGACTACATCTTCCACTGCCACCCTGCTGATCAGAAGATCCCAAAGCCAAAACGCCTCCAAGAGTGGTATAAGAAGATGTTGGATAAAGCGGTAGCTGAGCGAATAGTGCACGACTACAAGGTAGACAGTCACATTCTAGTCTTTCTTTGGCCTGCTAAAGCATGGCACAAGGAACCCTTCTAAATATTTGTGGTTTGGCGTTGACAATTTCACCGATTGCTGTGGATGGAAGCCACCATCTTTCCACTTCTCCCAGGAATGACAACACGCTATCTTGGATTCCTCTCTTGTAGGATATCTTCAAGCAGGCGACAGAGGATCGTTTGACCAGCGCCAACGAGTTGCCTTACTTTGAAGGCGACTTTTGGCCCAATGTGCTGGAAGAGAGCATTAAAGAGCTGGAGCAGGAGGAGGAAGAACGCAAGAGGGAGGAGAACAGCACTTCGAATGAGAGTATTGATGTAAGTCATTGAGGGTAGGAAGCGGGTGAGCTTCTGTTAAGTGACATTGACATCCCCTGTCCCCCTTTTTTTTTCTTCTGCGCGCAGGACAATAAAGGTGACAGTAAAAATGCCAAGAAGAAGAACAATAAGAAGACGAGTAAGAACAAGAGCAGCCTGAGCCGAGCCAATAAGAAGAAGCCGGGGATGCCCAATGTGTCCAATGACCTTTCACAGAAGCTCTATGCCACCATGGAAAAACACAAAGAGGTACAAGAAAGACGAATGCTCACTCCTCATTCATTTGAACTTGTTTCTCACGTTGGGAACGGTGTCTTGCTTCGCTGCAGGTATTCTTTGTGATCCGGCTGATCGCGGGCCCAATGGCCAATGCGCTGCCCCCCATCGTCGACCCCGATCCGCTGATGGCCTGCGACCTCATGGACGGGCGCGACGCTTTCCTGACGTTGGCCCGGGACAAACACCTGGAGTTCAGCTCACTCAGGCGGTCTATGTGGAGCTCCATGTGCATGTTGGTGGAGTTGCATAACCAAAGCCAAGACCGCTTCGTCTACACGTGCAATCTGTGCAAGCACCACGTGGAGACTCGCTTCCACTGTACCGTGTGCGAGGTGAGCTACGGAAAAGTCTTGGTCTTGTGGGACAGTTTATTAAAAGTACGTTTTGACGAGGAAGCAGTAGAATATTTTCATTTAAAATGACAGAAATGACTGATTTGAATTTGCAGTCGGTCATGATTTTGAGACGGGAAGAGTCACTGAGAGGCATAGAGGTGGACATCCTAGGAAATGTTGATGGATCGAACAGCAAGTTGTGCTAAAAGTACTGAAACATTGAATTTTAGAGAGGGTAAAATTAACCTCACCTGTTCATATTCTAGTGCCAATATCCTGAACATTTTGGAAGTTATGTACAGCATGTATGGTTCTCTCTCCGTTGAGGTCTTATAACCGTGTGGATTTGTTTTTAAATAATGACTCGTCCATCATGTCATCCCTCGCAGGACTACGACCTTTGCATCACGTGCTACAACACTAAGGGCCACGAGCACAAAATGGAGAAGTTAGGCCTCGGTTTGGACGACGAGAGCAGCAACCAGACGGGCGCCACCACTCAGAGCCCGGGAGACTCGCGTCGCCTCAGTATCCAGCGCTGCATTCAGTCGCTGGTCCACGCGTGCCAGTGTCGCAACGCCAACTGCTCTCTGCCGTCCTGCCAGAAGATGAAGCGCGTCGTCCAACACACTAAAGGCTGCAAGAGAAAAACCAACGGCGGCTGCCCCATCTGCAAGCAGCTTATCGCCTTGTGTTGCTACCACGCCAAGCACTGTCAGGAGAACAAGTGCCCGGTGCCGTTCTGCCTGAACATCAAGCACAAGCTCTGTCAGCAGCAGCTGCAGCACAGGCTCCAGCAGGCCCAGATGCTGAGGAGGCGGATGGCCAGCATGCAGAGAGTTGGCAAGCCGGCTCCAGGAGGCGCTCCGGGGGGCAACGGCCTGCCCTCTCCGGGAGCCAACAACGGCGCGACCGGTCCCGGGACGCCCACTTCTGTCGGCACGCAGCCTCCCACGCCGCAGACGCCCACCCCGGGAAACATGCTGGCGCTTCCTCAGCAGCCGGGAATCGGGGCTGCTGCCGCACAGCAACAGCAGGTCCAGCAGCAGAGTGGCGCCATTCCTCCTCAGCATCACCTGCACCATCAGTTTCAGTTGATGGGCACGGGAGGCGGAGGGGGGGTAATGAACTCCCCCCAGCAGCAGATGGTGCCGCCGCTGCAGCAACAGCAGCCCCCCAATGTACAGCAACTGCAGCAGCAGCACGCCGGCGCTTTGCCGCCATACAATCCCAGAGCACCGGGAGCTTCTCCTCTCCACCAGTCGCTGGGGAAACCTGGACTCGGTCCTGCCACCCCACCTCAGCAACAACAAACAGCCAACCAGCTTCAAGGATCCATGCCCGTTCAAGGTCAGCAGCAAGGACCCCCTTTGGCAGCGGTCGAGACGGCCCTAAAAATTCAACGGCTAGCAGAGACCCAGAGACAGATGGCTCAGGCCCAGGCTCAGATCCGAAGTTTAGGACAAGGGGGGATGATGCCCCAACATCCTCATCACCAAAACAACCCGGCCCAGATGGGCATGCCTCACATGGGAGCTCAGGGGATTCCCCCCCAGGCTCAAGGAATCGTAGGCAGAACTATGTTAGACCCCCAACAGCAGGGGATGCTGGCTGGTATGCAGCAAGGCGGCCCCCAGTCTCAGTTGCCCCCTCAAGTCCAGCAGCACCTCCAGCCCGGAGGCGGCGGGCAACTTCAGCAAGCCAACCAGCAGTGGGGGCCCGGCGGACCGGCGCTGAACCCGCAGCAAAGGTCCGCCATGATGGGTCACATGACGGCCCAGCAGCAGTCGGCGGTCGCCCAGCAACAGCAGCAGCAACTCAACCAGCAACAAACCCAGCCGGGAAACCGCGGGCTGATGCAGGTGATGTCGGGAGGTGCGGCGGGGGCAGTGGGGCCGGGAAGCCTGCCGCAAGGCGCGCTACAGGAACTCCTGAGAACGCTGCGCTCCCCGAGTTCGCCCCTCCAGCAGCAACAAGTCCTCAACATCCTCCGCTCCAACCCCACGCTCATGGCGGCATTCATCAGGCAGAGAGCGGCCAGATATCAGGGCGGGCAAGGGGGGCCTCCGCAAGGCTCTGGGGGCGTGAGATTCCAAGGGACTGCTGGCGGGCTCCCTGGCGTAGGAGTCGGAGGGCCCGGGCCCAATCAGTTGGCCGGCATGGACGGCCAGCAGATGAATGTGAACCAAGCGGGTCAACCGGGAATGAACATGGCCCAGGGGGGCGGTGCAGCAGCAAATGTGCCCACCATGGCTCAGCTTCAGCAACTTCATCAGCAACAGCGTCCAATGTTGCCTGGCAACCTACAACAACAGCAAATGGCAGCCCTGCAGCAGCAGCAGCAGGGAGCAATGCAAGCAGGCCAACAAAACAGTATGTCCGGCATGACTCCTCATTTCAGAGAACTGTTGTTAAGGAGGCAGCAGCAGCAGCAGCAGCAGCAACAACAACAACAACAACAACAACAACAACAACAACAACAACAACAACAACAACAACAACAACAACAACAACAACAACAACAACAACAACAACAACAACAACAACAACAACAACAACAACAACAACAACAACAACAACAACAACAACAACAACAACAACAACAACAACAACAGCAGCAGCAGCAGATGGTGAACCACGGACAGTTCCAACAAGGACAGCAGGGCTTCATGCAGCCTGGCCAAGGGCAGCCAGGAATGCCCCAGTCTTCCCAATCCCAACCTGGGGGCAGCGTGAGGGGTCCGGGGCAGCAGCAGCAAGGAGGTCCACAGGGCGGTCCGGGGCAGCAAGGCTACCCGAGCAACGCTTCTCAAGTGGCCGCCGCTCTCCAGCAAAGGCTGCACCAAATGCAGATGCACCAACAACAGCAACAGAATTCCATGGGAGGGCCTCAAGGGCAAGACGGAGGTCCAGGTAGCGGTGGGTCGGGGGGCAACCCCCTCCAGCCGGGACAAAGCGTACCCGGGCAGCAACAGCCAGGCGGCCCCCCGCTGCCCCAGACTTCCCAAGCTCTGATTCACCAGAACATCCACCAGAGGCTCCTCCAGCAACAGCACCTGGGTGGGGGCTCCCCAGCGCAGCACAGCAGTCCCATGAGCCCCCAGCAGCAGATGGCCCAGTCCCCGCACCCTCACCTCCAAGGCCAAGGCGGCCTGGGTCCGGCGGGCGCGCTGGGCAATCAGGTGAGGTCGCCACAGCCGTCGCCGCGGCCGCAGTCGCAGCCCCCCCACTCCAGCCCGTCCCCGCGCATGCAGCCCTCGTCGTCGTCATCGCAGCCGCAGCCGTCGCCGCACCGCATTTCCCCGCAGACCCAGAGCAGCTCGCCCCACCCCGCCCACATTGGCCAACATCACCCCAATATGGCCCCACCTCAACCGTTGCAGCAACAGCCGCCGCCAGGCGGTCCCGTAGATCCCGGACAGTTCAGCTCGGACCAGAACTCCATCATTTCTCAGCTGAGTGGCATGGCAGCCATGCACGCCAACCAAGGGGGACAGTCGGACATGTTGGCCCCAGCTAATAATAATAATACTAATAACAACAACAACCAGGAACTGGCAGCGAACATGAACCACAACAGTTTGGACCTCATGTAGCACATTTGTGTGTCTTCATGACAAACTGCCACCACAGGAGAGGGTAGTCCAACTAAGGATTTTACAAGTTTTCATTTTTTTATTTAAATATTTTTGTGACGTATGAAAATGAACTGAAGCTTCCTATGGGAGATCCGCCGCAGAAAATCCTAGAAGTCAATAAATGAATAAATTAAAAACAATGGTAAGTTATTGCTGTTAATATATATCTATTTTTGCCAGCTGTGTACAAAATGGTGGAAGGGCAACATTTCAGGTTGAAGATATTTCTTCCGTAGTCTATTACACAATATTTTTGGGGACAATGTTTTTTTTGTTTTTTTGCGCCTTTTTAATGAATATCTTTAAGATTTTAAATGTGGTGAAAAATTTAAGTGAGTTGACAAGCTGTACTTTTTTTTTTCCCCCCCTGGAAAGAATAGTTTTCCTCAAATACCCAGTCATGATTGTATCTATTTTGGAGAGGGATGACAACAACAGTTTATTTTGTTTCTGGATTTCTACTTTGTTGGGTTTTTTTTTTGTTTGTTTGTTTTTTTGGTCAGCGGATCTTAAAACAGGCCTCAACACGTTTTGCATTGCAGCTCTTCCATCGTTTTTACATCCCACCACAGTGACATGTTTAGGGAGGGGGTTTAATAGTTTTACTATTGTACATCTGAAACCCCGCCCCCACCTCCCAAAGAGCTGATGAGGCCAACTTTTGTTTAGCGTTTGGGTTGTAATTGATTTAAAATTGGTGTACATATATTTTCCATCCTGGCCTCTGAGCTGAGATTAATTTGTATATTTTTTTTCTGTATTTTTATTTGGATGCTGCAGAGGTTTGCGAAACGCCTGTCGGGCTCCTCCATCTCCCTCCTCACTAATTGCTCCCAGCCACAAAGTTTAAATTCATTGTTAGTAGTGTACAAAGTTGAGAAATGGTGAATTTAGATACTGTATTTTGTCATGCAAATGAAAGATGGAAAAAAAAACTGTATATAGTTCAAAACATTTACCCCCACGCCCTTAGATTGGTTATTTGTTGTGTGGATAAAAACAACACACAAGTCCTCCCGAGCTGCTGTACAGTATTGAGATTTGTCTTTCCTTCAAGGCTTGGTATAAGGTGTTAAGCGGCCACATGCACCAATGCGCCTTTTTTTTTTTGTTTGTTTTCTCGCCCCCTGTGTATCGTTTGAAGTGAAGCAAACGTTTAGTCACACATGAACAATCCCACAAACTGGATGTGAAAACCGCCAAGTCGATGCGACGGCGGCGGGGGGGTTCGGTTTCTCGTCGTGTGACCTAAAAGATTTCAAAAGTGGTTATTTAGCTTTTTACAAAGACACAACAGTCACGTGATCACTATTTTTCATTCGTGGGTGGGTGGGGGAACCAGGTGGCAATATATCTTGAGACTTACTTTATAAGAAAAAGGAAGAAAAAAAATCAAGGAAAAACTCTTTTATATATAGATATATTATTTAATTTTATTTTTTTGGAAATAAAACTTGAAGCTACAAGAATTAGATAATTTTGTTTTGTATTGAATATATGGTGATGCAAAACGACACTGCAGACAGTCATTCAGTTTGCCCTGGGAGTGTATTATACCATCCTCTTTGAAGAAATGTTTCATGTACATGAATATAGATGTAAACATAGTCACTGTACAAACCCATGGCAACTGAACAAAAATGTTTTGTTAATATCATTTCCGCCCCCCCCCAAAAAAAAAAGAAAAAAAGAAGAGACTGGAAGTAAGACTATTTAATATTAGTTAAGTATTCAAATGGAATCTTTGACCACTTTTTTTCGTTCTCTTGTTATAAAATTTTGGTGCTTGCTGAGAGAAAGCAAAAATAACTGTTGCTCCATTTTCATCTTTTTTTTAAGTTATTTTGGTGGTCTGACTGTTTTTTTTTTGCCAATAAATTAATTGTACAATAAAGTATGTTTGTACCGTTTGGTATTATTTTGTCAAACGTGTGCATGATTTAATGGATTTACTTGACGTCATCATTTAACACAGTAACTCGTCTCGCAAAACACCCAAGTCACATGTTCACATCCAATAGAACTGCCATTAATCCGTTTCAGCCCCCCCACCCCTCAAAAAAATTTCTAGAAATGAAGATATTAACCATGAGCCACATGTATTCCATTATGATACATTTTAATCAACACCTTCAAGTTAGACTGCAGTCATGTGCAGGTTAACGCATCACTATGTGCAAAAAAAATATTTTTGCCTCGGAAATGTTCTTTCCTATCCAGAATGAGATGACCCGTAAGTACTGGAGGATCGGATGGTTTGAATGCTACAAATGCTGGAGGAAAAGTGGGGAAATGGATTTTTAAAAAATGCGTGTCTGTGTGCATGTTATTAATATTCTAGATTTTTGTGTTAGTGCGCACTGCACCCTAAGCATCCTGTCAGTCGCACTATCACAAAAAAGTAAAATTAAAATTTAAAAAAAAGCAGGTCACCTTTAACCTACGGTGGCACGTGACCTGCATCACCGGAAGTTGTCAGCGGTCAGCATTTGCAGTTTGCGATCACAGCTGTTGCCTTATATATACTTTTTATTTTTATTATTCCCATTCAAAGTTTGTTTCATCTGCAATTCACCGATGGCTCCGACAAAGAATTGGAATTTGGAGCGCTAAGAGAAGCATTTTAAAACGGTACACGTGAGCTACGATAGTGACGTTGTTGCACTGAAGACGCTGCCAAAGTGCGTCAGGTCTCGACAAAGGTAGGCACTGATTCCTTTTTACAAACTCACAAGCTCTCGTATGGACGTTATTTTTATGTTTCGTTCATGTTCGGGTACGTTATGACTGTTACTTATCATGGCACGGTTGCTTGAAAAGTCGATCTTCGGTCAAAAAAGGATGGGCACCCCCGATTTATACTTTGACATCATTTCTCATCGGTCAAATCTTGAATCGTGAATAGACTGCTCAAACCTCGTTGAAAGCTGCATGCATTGAAAAATGTATTGTGAAAAATGAATTGATATTAAGAGCGCGTTTTTGTTTTGTGTTTTGCACGCGTGCACATCATTTTATCCATATTTAATCCATTCAGGGACAGCGGTTACTACAGTGGACAAAATGGCATCTTTGTTACAGGAAGTGCATGTGTACCATGGTCTACATTTTAACAAAAGTTAAGCGGAGAGTACAAGACAGCTCGCTACTTTACAGCACTCTCATGTACAAAACAGCAGTTCCATGTCTATAAGCGCACAGGACACTTCAATATAAACTCTCCAGGTCCTTTTGACTCGATTCCATTTTTTTTCAGTGCAAACTGTGCCGATCGCAAAAGATACTCCTACTCAAGGACTCCCCACGCACTAGATCGAGCCCTAAACATTTTTACTGACTCGGAATGTGGACTTAAAAACGTTGAAGCAGACGCTCGATCTTAAATGCATCGGGTGAGTCCGTTAGTGCAATCCTTAGGAATAATACTTTTTTTTCTTTTGTTCATTTTAGTGCAACATTCCAGACATTTGGCTCTTTTACGTTCTCATCTCCATCCAGATTTAAAAGGTCCCATTTGCGAACTTAACCTCCGTAATGGGTCCGCCTCGTGTTTAAAATTGAAGATTTGACCACTGGGAGGCGCCATTTAGCAGTATACAGTAAAACTAAAAACAGGCTTTGAATACTTTCGCGTACAGTACCGATGGCGACCGAGGTTTTTGCAGGGACTCGCTAATAGCTCGGGTCGTTAAAAAGTGCAAAGATGGGACAACGATACTAACACTGTCATCTAGGACTGCTTGTTAATGGCTCATTTTCTTTCTCCCGCCGACGACATACAGAAGCACGTGTCCAAACTTCTTTCCGCCGAGTGCAAAAGGTCAGTCTGAGCCATGCGGCATTTCAGCTCCCGTCCAGGCTAAGAGGAAGCGTTGACGATCAATTTGGAAAACCTCGGCGCCCCGCTCAGACCTCCACCGCCCCACACTCGGAAGAAGCCCCGAGCCACGCGCGCTTCTCGGAACGTCACGGTGAGCGCGTTGATGGTGACGTCGGTGACCGTCACCTCTGCCGGGCCGACGACGGGCCTCCAGGCCGTTTCGGGCATCTCGGCCTCTGTCAGATGGTCTCCACTGGGAACTGGGCTCCACGCTGCGGAGCGTCTTTGACCTACACCAGTCAAGAAGAGAAGAACCTTAAAAACAATTCCTTGCAACAGATGATTCCCAAACAGTGTTGGGTGTGGTGTTCAGAATTTAAAGGTCCAACATCTGATCACAAGCCAAGTACAGTCTAAGCACACCTGCGGTCTTTTCTCCGGTATCCTCATTCTCCTCCTCTTCATCTCCAACAAGATCCTCTTCCACCTCCTCTTCCTCTCCCAGGCTTTTCCAGTCCTCATGTGCAGGACTCGCCGGCCTGAAGTTAAGGCACCTGCTCCGTGGCCTCCTCTTGTTGTAACGGGGCGCTCTCCTCCAAGCAGTGTATGATGGGTCCTCTTCCTCCTCTTCCTCTTCCTCCTCCTCATCTTCCTCTTCTTCTTCCTCTTCTTCCTCGTCCTCCTCCGGGAGTAGTGAGCGGGTCAGGGAGAGACGTAGGCGGGGTTTGGGCATGTCCGCGGCCTTGTGAGCGCTGCGAAGGTCCATCGTGTACACTGTGTTCTGAATGCAGACCAAGGAGAGAATCATTAGCGCAACTGACGTGACCCTCCCCCCCCCACCCCCCTGCCCCGTTAAAGAATGATATTGCACCTGCAACAGGAGCCGTTTTTTGGCTTTGGATCTTTTTCTCCTGTGACCCAGAGTTTTGTCTCTCTGCTCTCTGAGGAAAGACAAGCACACAGTTAGATTGAATGCAGAAAAAGCATCAGTCTCGTCTTCAATCGCACTTGTCCATTAAGGCCGGTCAAAATCACAACTATATCAACTTAAACAAGACTGTCGGGATAGTTTCCGGGGAAAATAATATCGTCCTAAACAAGCAGTTGCCATAAAATCCATCAAGTCGTACTTCTCTTCATAGGCTTGGACTAAACGCTGGTCCAGAATGTGTTCCTCGGGTTCCCATGTGCTGTACCTACAAAGGAAAAAAAAAAGTGAACTTTTTATTTTTTTGTTTTTTTAGGTCTATTTAATCACTCATCCATCTGTCAATACAATCATCGGACACTTTATTAGGAACACCGAAACAATCTGAACAATGCTTCGACTCACTTGGGAGGCCATCCTTTCCATTTCAACAGGTACTCCACGTTCCCCTGCGGAGACAGCAGGTTTTGAAAACAAGCCACAGACAAAGCACTCAGACATTTGTAACCGGATGATTGCTCTTTGATTTCTCCGACAGCCGAAGACATTAAGCATTATTAATATTCTATATTTTTGTGTTAGTGCAACCAGCGTCTCTTCCCCCCGCCCCCAAAAAAGAAAGTATTTAAAAATAACATTTAAAAAGCGGGTCACCTTTCACCGACGGTGGCACGTGACCTGCATCACCGGAAGTTGTGAGCGGTCAGCAGTCTGCAATTGCAGCTTGCGATCACAACTGTTGCCTGATATCAGAGTTTGTGTTTTTTAATTATCCTCATTCAAAGTTTGTTTCATCTGCAATCCACCGATGGTACTGGCAAAGAATGGGAATTTGGAGCGTCAAGAAAAGCATTTTGAAACGGTACACGTGAGTTACGATCGTGACGTTGTTGCACTGAAGACGCTGCCAATGTGCGTCCCATGCCGCCGCGTCCAGGTCTCGACTAAGGTAGGCACTGATTCCTTTTTACAAACTCCCAAGCTCTTGTAGCGACTTAATTTTTATGTTTTGTTCATGTTCGGGGACGTTTTGGCTGGTGCTCATTGTGTCATGCGGGTGTGTGTATGCGTGCACGTGCGGTCGCGGGTCAATTAAGGGGGGTCGGTTGCTTGAAAAGTCCATCTGAGGTCAAAAAACTACATCAGCGAACTATAACTCGACACAATTAATTTTTAAATAACGAATGTATATATTTTGATGAATCAATTTCCGGGAAAAAAGACAATAAATGCAACAAATATTGCAGGCCTCTTGATCATGTAAATGCACCTTGGGTCGGATTGTGGGTCTGAGAAAATCTGTGGAGAAAGTTCGTCAAAAGAAGTTAGAGCAAATATTGGCTGGAGGTACTGGAAAAAAAAATCAATTCGACATGTTGCGGCTGCGGATCCCAATTTTTGTACCACGTGACAACGTGTTAATTTCGACAACAATAATAATGCATTCAAACATAATTAGCAAGACAACAATAACGGACCCCAAGCGAAAAGCTTAGTCAAATTTTCGTGTCCTCCTGAAAGTGAACATGTAATAAGCATCTGCGCAACAATAAAACAACACGACCATCCTCTTAAAAGTCAATTAGGTAACCAGCTTCGGCTCTTATTAGCATGCTTTCAGAACATTTGCTCGCGGCGTCATGGCACCAAGGTGAAAGGGCATATATCTGCCGCAACTGGTACCTTCCGAACTCTTTTCTTCATGATGGATTCCACGGCGAACACTTGCTCGCCGATCGCTGACAGCTCCATCAAGTGCGCACCTCGGACCTGCCGGAAAAAAAAGTGGCGTCTTTTCCGCCCCGATCTAAGCTAACGAGAGCTGCCGGGGGGGAAGCCCCGCTTCACCCGTGGCCGCCGGGTTAGAGAGGCAACACTTTGAGGCCCATTGAAACGCCACCAACTTGCATGGGCTGGACGTTTTCCGTTGGAAAAGAAGCTGCGACACATCTGCACGCAGCACAGCGCAGCGCGCGACCCCGTCTCTGACGGGAGCGCGCGATCCCACTTGGCCTCGCGCGCCCCCTTGTGGTCAGAATATATATCCATCAACGTGGACACTTCATTAGGTACAACGGCATCGTCTTATTTAGCGGGAAACGCGGTTTTGTTTTTCTTTATTTTCACTGAGTTGGTTGCTGTTATTTTGTTGTCATTGATAATTCCTGATGTGACAGTCAGATATCTTCTGCAAATCCCAACGCCATTTGTGTTGGTGGCATGGGAGAACGTTCGATTCTGTGGGGTTTTTTTTCCCCCGAGAAAACCAGCTTCTTCAGTCATGCAAAACTGGAAAACATTGCCACCTATAGGCGAGAAAGCGCAATTGCGGTCTTTAAAAAAAGCTAAACTCATGAAATAATTTCATAAACACTTTTAGAAAAACAAAAAAGCGAGTGTTTTTTTTATTGTTGATTTTCATTTTACCATCATACTTGCATAATGTTTCTAACTTTCAGAGGACGTCTCCCTTTTCACATCAATATAAAGATTCTGCAGCTGTGTTACAAAAAAATAGGACATGGGGCGCGGGGGGGGGGGTTATTGTTCGGGGGTTTGGGGGGGGGATAAAAATGAAGTCAGAACACATCAGGAGAAAGTGTCTCGTTTTCAAAACAGGTCAAGGATTGCATCACTGGATTTTGTCGTTTGCCGACTTCACTTTACAGAAGCATATCAGACGTTTTATATTTTAGCAAGCAATTGTATTGATGGTGGCGATGTATTTTATTGCATTAAAATGTTAAGTCACTTGTATTGTGTACGGTACACAATATGCACTTTATGCAACCAGCGTCTCCCCCCTCCCCACCTTAAGTACCATCAACACAGCTTTAGCGATTGGCCGACTCTACATTGATTGACACGCTTGAGAATCAATCGGCGGTGTTTGCGGCTGTCCGTCAAGGAAACGCCAGCAGCTTATTGGCCCTGAGTCAACTTGGGCCGTCCTTGTTAGGTAACGCGTGTAATTTGACAAAAGTTTCATTTTCTCCGCCCCAAAAACATCAGAGTTGTCAGTCTTGAGTGGCTTTCTTCACAGTGACGTTGACGTTTTTGTTTTGGCATTTTATCGTCAAATATCGTCTGTTTGTTTTTCAGTCGTGCAAAAGTTGAGGATAAAAACATGACTAAAGTAGACATCCCAGAGATATTCAGAGCTTTCTTGGAAACTCCATTTACTTTACCGAGCTACGACACAGATGGTAAGTGAAAACAAACTGCGTACACACCCGTTTAGCACCGAAATGTGAAATACACCATGTTAATATTATGAAAATCAAAAGAAATGGCAGTGGACCTTTGCGTGCCTGTTGCATAACCGTGATCAAAAGCTCCCAAGTTTTAGTAGAGAGGTAACTATGTGTCCCTTCATGCATGTGTACAATACTCACGTGTACATGTACTTGTTTGCATGTGTATGCATGGATACACACATACCTGTTAATATCTGGTTAGGGCAAAAGACAGATGCGCAAAGAAAAAGCCTACTAGATCACCTGAAGTTTAATTGGGGTTAATCGGAGGCACTTAAAATGGCAATGGCAATTTAACATGAACGTGACTTGTTCAATCTCAGTCATTTATTTTTGCTGCTTTTCTCTGGATTTTTTTTTTTTTTTTGCTTCCATTTGAGTTAAAAGTCACATTCCTGGTGGAAAAAGTTTTGAAATGACTTATCTTGGTCTGAGTTTTTATGTCTGATATGTCTATCAGTGCTGTGATGAGGTTGAAAGCTGAATTGAACGGGAAATACTGTCTCTATATACATGACCTATTTCTTAACACGCATGAGTGTGAAAAGCCAAGAATAAAATGTAAAGTGTAGAAGGTACTGAAATATCCCTCCTCCTCCAAAATGCTTTCAGTCAAGTAAGTGTTACTGCTGTGGTCGATTCGATTCAAGTATAAATCAATTCAGTGTGCTCTGAAGTAACTGAAAGCATGGCTGTGTCTGGCATGTAGTTTCCCAATTCAATCACTAGGTGTCTGTTTTGTTTTGGGTTTTTTTTTGATTGCTAATCCAGGCTGTCTGCATTTGATTATTTTTAAAGAAATTAGAGCCAAGTAATGTAATTACATGAGGTATACGCCAGCTCCTGGTCCTGTCTTTCCAAAGTTTTAAATGCATGTGTTGCATTGAATATAATAAGATGCTATGTACTTGCTTCAAACTTGTCCGACATTTTAGGCTACTGTTTTGATTTTCACGCTCCTGTTGGTTATTTCATTGATGAAATTTCACATCGTCCGGTTCCCTCAATCATAGCCTGCTGTGTTGTAAATTTAAATTTACAGAAGAAATAATGAAAATCATTGTTTTGGAGAGAATTTAAATAGGAATAGGCCCTCTTTCCTACATGATTAACATATCTGTACCGAATACGAATTTCACTTTTTGAATTTAACTACTACATTAACTGAAGTGCTTGTATGATATTCTATTGCGGTAATTGTCAATGTTGTTCTCGTACCACGTGTGTGACACAGGCTCCCTCTAGTGGCACGCAAAAAAATCACTGAATTGAATGGTCACACTGCAGAATGTTACAGTAGCTAGTTTAACTCCAACATAATTAGTATTCAAATTGTGCACAATGTTACAGTGACTGACAATGATATTAAGTATAATTTTTAGGAATAAAATCTCTGCCGCATAATTGATGACCATGAACTACCTAGCATGGGCCTATTGTGCTACTGTATATTAATGTTGGTTATAGTGGTACTTGGAAAGCTATGTATTTTTTTGAGTAAGGATTTGATGTAAAAGATTTCAGAACCACTGTTCTATTTTACTGAGATGCACGTGTGGAAGTATAAGGGCAGTGTTTTGATATGTGACCTTTTGACTTCTTCGGTCTGACTATTGTGTTGTAGCAAACAGAGAGTCACAGTGGCACAAGCAGAATTTGAGAAGCACCCCCCTCCTTCCCCATCTCAAACATTTGTTTATCCTGATTAAGACATCATGTCATATGATGTCTGGCTCACAGTTCAGAGGTACCGGTTTTCAAATCCGGCTCTGGGCTTTCTGCACGGAGTTTAAATTGTCCATAAATGGCCTGCCATTGACTGGTCAAGTTCACCTATGGCCCTAATGAGGACAAAAGTGCTATAAAATATGGATGATGCCGATTTGGTTTATTAAAAGGTCAACAGCAGGGATGAGCCAAGTTGAGGCGGTATGGAGAAGACATTTTGGCTGTTGGACCATTAAACTGTGTTCACTGTCAACTGTATTTGTATGCTGATGAAATGTTGCACGAGTCGACCTTGGGAGCTCCTTAGGAGCTATGTCACTGTGCACGACAGCGCCTCCTTCCATGCATGTTGAGTAAATGAAACACGGTATGTTGGCATGTTGCGGCGGGTGCTGCACATGTTTTCCCCATGTGATCACTGGCGCCCGACCCGCCCTCAAGAAATCCAACATATGCTCTGCGCTCCTGCAACCGGTTTTCTCATGAATTAATGAGTAGGAGATGGAACGGCAGCAAGAACTAGGTTTAAATTCGCAGTTATTATTTATTACATGTGTACGTTTTTTAATCATTATTTTAAAAAAAGTTGCTTTAAGTCGTTTGGTTTCCCAGTCCATTCGCAGTTATTATTTATTACATGTGTACGTTTTTAATCATTATTTTTTAAAAAGTTGCTTTAAGTCGTTTGGTTTCCCAGTCTTGTGAGTTCAAATGAAAAATTGAGAATGAGTGCTCTCAATTGTCTGATCCTCCAGCCCCTTTCAAAGAATGAGTTGTTTT